CAAAACTGGTTAAGAATTGCTAATTAAAGAATTTGATTTACCACCATACCTGCAAACTTTGATTTGCAAACTGCTTGGCGTTGCCTCTACTCTATCAGATATTTGGTATTCTTAATCTTTTGCACTTTGGTCCCCTCCATCTGTGTTAAATCCTCTTCAGCCAATCGGATTGTGTCGGTTAGCAGGAAAAGCTGATAGCATTTCAAAGACGCCTCTGTAATCACTAGCTACCACGTCTAACGCTCGACCCCTCTCATTACGGTGATTGTCCGTGGTTTCAGTCCGAAACACCTACCTCACTGTGTGAAATTCCCCTGCGGCCTCTGAGAAGCTGCTATTAACAATTGATTGAATTATGTGTCACACGACTGAGAGAGCTAGTTATATATAGTAAGTGGCTCCGTTGTCTTGGTATGAAGAAAAGCTGTGCACCTGACAGCTGGACGCATGAGTGTTTCATATGGTTTGAGAGTGAAACTGTATGATTATCCATACCATGATGCAAAGATACTCATAGTTTTCTATTTTAGCATTCGCTAATGCTGGGTTTACACTACATTGTTTTCAAAGTCATTGGATCGCTGTTTCTCTGAAATTTCTCTTGCCCTGTATCTTGCTCTCTCATTGGCTGTAGGTCATTGCTGATGTCATTTCCAGTCAAAACACATTTCACACTGCAAAACTCTGTTGTCCAGATATTTAGCTTGCTAAATATTTCTTCTTTCAGATTGTGTCTTTGATAATACTAGGGCTGGCCCCCAAATAGTCGACTAAATGTTAGTTAATCAGAAGAAGATTAAAGGGATAGTTCACCCAAAAATTACAATTCTGTAATCATTTACTCACCCTCAAATTATTCCAAACCTGTTTGAGGTTCTTTTTTCTGTTGAACTCAAAAGAAGAGATTTTGTTCAAACAAATGATGGTCCCCATTGACTTGCGTAGTATGGGAAAAAAAATACTATCCAAGTCAGTAGGGACCATCAACTTTTTTTTCTTCAAAATATCTTCTTTGGTGTTCAGCAGAAGAAATAAACTTGTACAGGGTTGAAACAATTTGAGGGTGAATAAATAATGACAGGATTTTCATTTTTGGGTGAACCATCCCTTTAAGCCCAAAGTAGCTATACTTCATTTTTGTACGTGTACGCTAACGTATGTTTGCAGTCGAACGCGTAGCCTTACAAAAAGTATACTTAATTTGATAGCGTGCGGCCGTGCGCAAACGTAGGCTGTAGACATATGTGCTCTAGGAAGTTTCATGTTTGTCCAGTGTCTGCTCCATATTTCTCCAGAAGTTATGACTGATAAAAATGTCTCTGTACTCTTTTAAACTTCAGTTGCGGCTGTTTCATAAGGCCCTCACACAAGTCAATGCGGGTGTCTGTTGTTCTTGCAGTTTCCGGTATTTTATTGTTGTTGTTCCTTCTCTTTAGTTTAATTTTCTACTGTTTGCCACCTTGTGGAAGAACTGATTAGTGCAAAACAAATTCAATGCGCATGTGCAACCTGCAAGTACAAAGTGCATGCAGTTACAAATATCAGGTAGTGCACGTTCAGTATGCGTGTACTATTCTGGGGATGAAATTGGCCCTGTCCCAAATTGCACACTTCATGTGTACATTCGGTCTTGAGTGCCGCTGAGTGTGTGTGTCCGTTAAGTCCACAAAACCGTAGGGTGTCCCAGTCATCATTTTAGCATTCAGAAGGGTGCTCGCGGGTGCTCCCTTTGCGGCCGCTATGCGCCCTTGATGCGCACTTACATCACGAAAGTGTGAACTCAGTGGAAAACAGTGAGGGTTTTGGGTGCCATTTGGGACAAGGCCATTTGTGCCATGCGCGTTGTATGTGGACCTTCGCGTACACATAAAAGCCGAAGTATACTTTGGGCTTTAGTCGACCAAAACTTTATTAGTCGGTTAGTCACAGAAAAACAAAAACTGTCCATGATGGACCAGATCCTTAACGGCTTGTCCTTGAGGTAATTACAGTATATCGAGCAGGAAATCCAATTATCATTCATTGACCTCAAATATGGCTTATCATTTGAAGTTGAAACATGTAGCAACTTTACACAACCGCTCGCTCTAACGTTAACCTAGATCAATGTGCGCGATTAGGCGCATATCTGTGTTTGTGCGTAGTGTATGCTATTAGTGCGCTACTGCATAACATGGAGGCGCCAGTGAGATCACTTGCATTTTTTTCCCTGATAACAGATAAATAAAACAAATAGGATGCACTTTCTACCATCTCAGTCTCCATGAAATGAACTGAAACTCAGCATATAGGCTACTTGCCTTACAGATGTGATAAATATATCTATAGAAAGCTTGGAATGTCTACTTTTAATCTAACCCATTCAAATACTTTCTGATTTTGTAATAAAACTACTACTAGTCGACAAAAATCTTTAGTTGGTGGGAGTCATAGATAATTCACACTATGCGATTGTCACTCATGTGAACAAGCACCGATTTGATTTTAGTCTTTTGGTGGGAGTCATAGATAATTCACACTATGCGATTGTCACTCATGTGAACAAGCACCGATTTGATTTCAGTCTTTTGTCAGCGATCTCTAGAAAACTCTCTGTGAGTGAAAATTGGTGGCACCAGTAACAGTGCTTTTGACACATTTAATGCTAATGCAGGCTAACGGTTATGTGACATTGTCTAATTACATTCACAATTCCAGTGGTGTCTGTCCGCTGTCCAAGGGGGCACAGAAAACCATCTAGGCTGTGTCACAAGAAGCCGTTTGTCATCAAGATGAACAGAAGGGCCCCATGATTGACAGAAGGCCTTACGTAATGTTACGATTCAGATGTCCGGCTGATGAATGTCTCTCAGACCTAAAGGTTAACGCTGTCTGAAAGAATCTTTCTCTGTTTTACTCTAGTTAGCTGGTGTCCAGTGTCTGTAGCATCGGCCTCGTCCCCCAGAGCTGTTTGATTGGCCTCTCTGTCATTAGGTTTAAGTAGGGCACTGCAATCCAGCAGGGATTCAATACCAGCCCTCCATTCACTCCGGCTCTGACTCCCCCAGCCGGCCTACAGTGAGGCTGCAAATTACGTAAGGCAATGTGTGTGCGTCAGTTTGGCCTGAACGCAGCCCAATGTGTTGGCCCGGGTGTCTCTCCGCCTGCTTCTCAAACACTGCAGATGAAGCCCTGAGAGAGATGGGAGAGGGGATGGATGGTGTTTTCATTAACCTCCACTGCCTGGTGTTTTAAATTGGTGCCAAATTCACAACAGGTCTCAATAACACTCTGAAGTGCTGTTTTTTGTTGACGTGATATATTAGTTTGTACTTTTCAGTTAGCTTTTTTTTCCCCTGACTCCTGTGTTTGGCTTCAGAAATGGAAATCTAGTAAATGATCTAACAATGCTTTTGAGTAGAAAATGCTTAAATTGCAACAGACCATTATCATAATTCCACCTTTTTAAAATAGGCCTGCCATTTTCAATTGTGATAATTAGCCCACGTAATGCTATTTATATAATGTTTTTATTGGAACGCTGAATGCAATTTTCAACAAATTTACCCATGATGCTACAACCGTTTGAAAATATTTTCCATTACATTAACAGTCCTATTTATGTCAAAACATTTCAGCACAACCTCTAATGGATCCCAAACTTTGCATGCACAGTTTTCTTTCTTTTTTGTATCTACAAATTTAGACTTATGTTATGTTATGTTATGTTATATGTTATGTTATAAAATATTGTTAAAGGACACGTTTCAAAGTAACGTTTCACATTTATGCATTTCATTCCCTATTTTTTTAATGTTGGATATTTTTTGGGTTGCTTTACAGTCATGTGTGCCTTTAATGGTGCACACTATTATTAAAAAGCCTCATTCAATAATTTATATTGCTTCATTTTCCCCTTGTGATGGGACACATTTCTCTCTTTCTTTCATCATATCGAGAACAGTACTAGATGATGAAATGTACTAGTTTTCTCTCTCTCGTGGGAATTTCCCATTTTCGTTCAAGCCTGGTTCTATAAGGCGCACAAATATGAATAGAAAGTAAACTACATATTGTAGGATGTGTTGGAAAGATAAATGGCTGCGCTTGTGTCTGTATTTGTTGGGACTTGTTAAATGAAAATTTGCATGCTCAACAGTCTTTTTGTGCTGTACAGTATACGGCACATTGTGTTCTCTCACTCGCTGACCCCTTACTCTCTCTTTATTTCTCACCACTCACTTTCGTGTTACTTCCACTTTTCTTTCATTGCTCTGCCCTCTCTTTTCTCTCACTCGCTCTCAGGGGACACCCATTGTCGCACAATATAATTGAATCCCTTTTTCGTTCCATTTTCTCTGATTTTCATTTTCGCAGGCCTCCTTACGCCTTCCAGCATCAACCCACATCTTCAGTATATGACCTCTGAACACAACCCCTAAGCCTTCTCGCTTTTAATTATCTCTAATTAGTAATTAAATTTTTCAGTCCTTGTAAAGAGCCATTTTAAGACCGTAGTAATTGATAAGAATTTATTTTTGAGGTTTTTGAAATGCAAGCTGCCAAGATGTTTTCAGGCATTCTCAGCCAAACCAAAGGAAAAATCAGTTCCCCAAAATCCTCAGAAATCCCTTATAGAGTAATTTCAAACACAAGTACCTAAATGACTGATAGATTCCACATGAATCTCTCTCAGAAGAGTTGTTTGGCTTGTTTGCACATCATCAGGTGCTCATATTTATTGCATTATGATGTTTAACTGCATGTGTTTGAACTGTTAAGCAGACCTATATCTACTGGCTTTCTCGAAACGCAGCAGAAATGGTTGGCACAGTGTGGTGTTATTCAACCTATTCAGGAGATCATTTAATATAATGACATTTTTTGTATTGGTCCACCTCTTTAAATGCTACAGTGAAGTCTAAATATAAGCTAAGTGTGTTCATTTGTCAAGCCTACCTAAAGAGAATGAGTCCTTTGAGCATTTTCTGAATCGCTTATATTGACTTTCTCTCCAACAGGTGATATGCTTTGAGGATGAGTGCTGTCGGGGAAAACTCGTCGGACCCTGCCAGGTCAGAGGCTCAAAAGCGCAAGGAATGCCCGTCAGACCTCCTGGGCCCAAGGTACTTCACCTAGACACAGCATGCAAACCAGTAGACAAATGAACAGCAGGTTAATTCTGAAACTGCATTCGTTGCAGCATATACATTTTTAGTTTGTATGTATAGCGGAGTGAATTTCTCTGTGTCTATGCTATGAACCGCTGAACTGCAATAATCTTGAGCAGGCCTCCCACCGGTGGAGCTCAGCCTAGATAATACACGTTTCTATATAGAGCCCTTTTCCACTGAGTCAGGAAACATCAGTCTGTATAATTCATTCACAGGAAGGAGCTATGCATGCCCTCTTTATTGACAAAATTTTCTGTGCAAACTGCTGAAGATGCAGAGCTGCAAATTGAAAATACAACCTGTTTAAGGTTGTACAGAAGAAGCTCTAGAAACCTTTGTCTATTTCTGTGTTAAACGCAATGCAGAAAAGAGGGTCTTGCTCTTGTTTTTTTGTTGAGGATTGTTTGGTGTTTGTACCTAATGACATAAAGCATCATTTATTAGGAATATGCAAAATTTCATATTTTCAGAATTGACTTATTGTCTGGTTGTCTGAAGGTTATACACCGTAAAAATGTTTGTAATGGCACCTTAAAATGCAGTTTATTGTCACCTATAAGTATGTGTATGATATTTTAAAATATCATAAAATTAATGAAAGAATGTGCAGCCCTCCTGAATTTTCAACAAAAAAAAAATTTCAGAACAGTAACAATCATTTTCTTGTTTATTGTTAAAAATTGCAAATTTGTTACAAAAAATGTTTGATGTTGAGATGATATACTGCAAAATATATAAGCTAAGTGTGTTCATTTGTCAAGCCTACCTAAAGAGAATGAGTCCTTTGAGCATTTTCTGAATCGCTTATATTGACTTTCTCTCCAACAGGTGATATGCTTTGAGGATGAGTGCTGTCGGGGAAAACTCGTCGGACCCTGCCAGGTCAGAGGCTCAAAAGCGCAAGGAATGCCCGTCAGACCTCCTGGGCCCAAGGTACTTCACCTAGACACAGCATGCAAACCAGTAGACAAATGAACAGCAGGTTAATTCTGAAACTGCATTCGTTGCAGCATATACATTTTTAGTTTGTATGTATAGCGGAGTGAATTTCTCTGTGTCTATGCTATGAACCGCTGAACTGCAATAATCTTGAGCAGGCCTCCCACCGGTGGAGCTCAGCCTAGATAATACACGTTTCTATATAGAGCCCTTTTCCACTGAGTCAGGAAACATCAGTCTGTATAATTCATTCACAGGAAGGAGCTATGCATGCCCTCTTTATTGACAAAATTTTCTGTGCAAACTGCTGAAGATGCAGAGCAGCAAATTGAAAATACAACCCGTTTAAGGTTGTACAGAAGAAGCTCTAGAAACCTTTGTCTATTTCTGTGTTAAACGCAATGCAGAAAAGAGGGTCTTGCTCTTGTTTTTTTGTTGAGGATTGTTTGGTGTTTGTACCTAATGACATAAAGCATCATTTATTAGGAATATGCAAAATTTCATATTTTCAGAATTGACTTATTGTCTGGTTGTCTGAAGGTTATACACCGTAAAAATGTTTGTAATGGCACCTTAAAATGCAGTTTATTGTCACCTATAAGTATGTGTATGATATTTTAAAATATCATAAAATTAATGAAAGAATGTGCAGCCCTCCTGAATTTTCAACACAAAAAACATGTTTGATGTTGAGATGATATACTGCAAAATTTTTCACATTTGACCTTTTTTTTTTTTCTTGCATCTTTGCCAAAATAATAAATAAAAGTTGAAACTATCAAACTGAGGAAGCCATTTTATTTTCCAATACAATCTTAAGAATGTGCAGATGTAATGTACTTTTGCTCTTTAGTCTGAATCATTTTTTTGTTTCTCTTAACAGTCCCAAACGAAGCACTGAGAAACGTAACCGGGAACATGAAAATAAATACATAGAGGAGCTCGCAGAGCTGATTTTCGCGAACTTCAGTGATATCGACAACTTCAATGTCAAGCCTGACAAATGTGCAATCCTAAAGGAAACCGTCAAACAGATTCGTCAAATTAAAGAGCAAGGTAAGAAAACCAATGGAATCTTCTTTGAACTTAAATTTTTACTTGTCCTATTAATCATCAATTCAAGTATAAACCCTGAGGCTTGATGCTGAAAACATAACCTTCACATAGTGTTACATTCAGTGAGCTTTAGCATAGTCCGACATTTGCGTTAGGCTAGAAGTAATTAGCAGCTAACACAAGACACATGTAGGCATTGCAGGTTGTTTAGGAAAATATTTGGCCTGTGTAGAGATCTTGAGAAAGAACTTGTCAAATCAGCCTTTTATTCCAGATTGGCTTTCAGCAGAAGTTGTCCTATTAATCATCAATTCAAGTATAAACCCTGAGGCTTGATGCTGAAAACATAACCTTCACATAGTGTTACATTCAGTGAGCTTTAGCATAGTCCGACATTTGCGTTAGGCTAGAAGTAATTAGCAGCTAACACAAGACCCATGTAGGCATTGCAGGTTGTTTAGGAAAATATTTGGCCTGTGTAGAGATCTTGAGAAAGAACTTGTCAAATCAGCCTTTGATTCCAGATTGGCTTTCAGCAGAAGCTTATAGATTAGCATCATGCAACTGCAAACATACCACTGATGTACCATGTAATTTCTCACTACATTAAGAAAAAATACAGAAACCAAACACAAGATTTTTGTGTTGAATTTTAAAGTTACCTTTAGGTAGGGATGTTTGACTTCAGCCTCATTTGCGTTTCTTTGTTGCCAAAATCATTAGCCGCAAGATTTGGATTCAGGTGCAGTGCTTGTTAACATGTTATGATTTTAGTTACTTGAAAAGTTAATAATGCTAATAATTTTGGAAACATTATACCAGATTATATCACAAACTTCTGAGAAAAAGCTTAATTGTTTGTATCTCGAGGTCCCTCCCTCCCCTATTGAGGGCTATCATATATCTCATCCTTGCTCTTCCTGTGATGAGAAATTTCTTGAATAAACATCCTGGAAATTCTTATGGCACAATCATAAATATAGACTGATATAGATTTATATCATTCATAAGATTGGCTTGCTCCTGCAGTGTTTTCCTGCTTAAATTATCATCCGTGTTGTTTTCAACAGTTCAGACTGGGTGCTGTTTTGACCTGTGTGTGTGTATCTGCATTGATTCTGACTGGGCTGTGATGGAGATTGTTTGTGATGTACTTAGCTCTGGGTTATGTAATGCTGAGCAATGTGATGTAAAGCTAACAGCGATTGTCGCCGTCTGCTGCGTAGTCCCATACCCCTCCTTCACCTCCCCTCCGCTATGCTCGATGCCACACGGCCACAGAATCACACATGCGTTACAAAAGAAATTTCATGAATTATTGTTTTAAAGGGATAGTTCACCTAAAAATGAAAATTCTGTCATTAATTAATCACCCTCATGTCATTCCAAACCCATAAGACCTTCGTTCATCTTCGGAACACTAATTAAGATATTTTTGACGAAATCCGAGAGCTTTCTGACCCTGCATAGACAGCAATGCAACTGACACGTTCAGGGTCCAGAAAGGTAGTAAGGACATTGTTAAAATAGTCCATGTGACATCAGTGGTTCAACCATAATGTTATGAAGCTATGAGAATATTTTTGTGCGCAAAGAGAAGAAACTTGAATAAAGTTGTTATTTTTGGTTTCTTCGCCCACCAAAAGTATTCTTGTAGCTTCATAAAATTAAGGTTGAACCATAGACTGCATAAAAACATGGACGTAGTGTCCGTGACGTTACCCGTAGGTTCCTGAAGAGCATTTTTGAAGCTCAAAGTGGGCGGAGCCGGCCGTCGCCATCTTAGCAGCGCGTCACCGCACATCACTCCCGGATAATCAAAAAATGGTCAAAAAGGTGGTAGCTGGTTGCTGAAACCACGCCCACCTAGCTCGACGGTGGTGACAGCAGCAGCAATCCACCTGTCACTCAAGTGGCCACGCCCTTAATTATGCAGAACTTTAAGGCTTAATTTAATTTCAACGGATGACTTATAAAAAAAAATTCACCCCCCTCACAGTTGTCAAGAACAACGTTAACAACAGGAGGATGGAGGACGCTGTGATCGGAGCTGTGTGTTTGTTGTGTCTCGCGGGTTTCACAATAATGGACATGGAATGTCGACGTATACGTAAAGCGATTGAAAGAACGGAGAGGAGGACTAAGAATCTCCAACGACAACTGGCAGTGCTACATTTGCTACAGGTGCCTGCACTTCAGCATCCGTCCATCTATCACTGTTCTCCATACTTGCGAAATAAGTTGACACAACGTTTACTGCATGTTTACACGGCGTTTTAAGTCATGGCGGGTGAGGGCGTTTTCATACGCGTTTGGCCAATCAATGTCTACTTACGTCACGATTAGTACCAGTTGTGCTGGTTAGACCCTGCTCCGGAGTAGGAACTAATTTGGTTCTCGAAAAAGGCAGTCCGGTACTAAAATCGCACCCAGTTCCGGCGGTGCGAAAACGCCAAAAAGTGGGTAGTTCCACAATTAGTTCTGGTACTATGAAAAGGTTCCCGCGGTGCGAAAGGCCCTGTTGGGACTGACTCCCTTTTGGAGCCAGCCTCTAGCGGCCAGTCGATGAATTGCAGTTATAGTCACTTCCGTGTTGGCTTCGCGAGAGAGACCAGAAGGTTGCCGCTTGGGTTGAACCACTGATGTCACATGGACTATTTTAACAATGTTCTTACTACCTTTCTAGGCCTTGAATGTGGTAGTTGCATTGCTGTGTATGCAGGGTCAAAAAGCTCTTGGATTTCATCAAAAATATCTTAATTTGTGTTCTGAAGATGAACGAAGGTCTTACGGGTTTGGAATGACATGAGGGTGAGTAATTAATGACCGAATTTTCATTTTTGGGTGAACTATCCCTTTAATGCTCATTGAACCGATAATGATGAATGATAGCATTTAAAGGGATACTTCACCTAAAAATAGGGCCTTTCGCACCGCTTTAGTTCCAGAACGAAATGTACAGTACTAAAGTACTGGGACGATTTTGCGCAAACTATTTCCCAGTACCATTTAAAGGGTTACATTCGCGCCGACAGTGTGTACTAGGAACCGGTCAACAGCTACGTTATTTGTGCGTGGTGTTCAACAAACAGAAACAAAGAAGAACAACGTTAACAACAGGAGGATGGAGGACGCTGTGATCGGAGCTGTGTTTTTGTTGTGTCTCGCGGGTTTCACAATAATGGACATGGAATGTTGACGTATACGTAAAGCGATTGAAAGAACGGAAAGGAGGACTAAGAATCTCCAACGACAACTGGCAGTGCTACATTTGCTACAGGTGCCTGCACTTCAGCGTCCGTCCATCTACTGCTGTTCTCCATACTTGCAAAATAAGTTGACACAATGTTTACAGTATGTTTACACTGAGTTTTAAATCATGACGGGTGAGGGCGTTTTCATACGCGTTTGGCCAATCGATGTCTACTTGCGTCACGATTAGTACCAGTTGTGCTGGTTAGACCCTGCTCCGGAGTAGGAGCTAATTTGGTTCTCGAAAAAGGCAGTCCGGTACTAAAATCGCACCCAGTTCCGGCAATGCGAAAACGCCAAAAATTGGGTAGTTGCACAATTAGTTCTGGTACTATGAAAAGGTTCCTGCGGTGCGAAAGGCCCTAATGTTGCCATTATTTTCCTAACTCCAAACCTGTATGACTTTTTCTAACACAAAAGGAGATGTTAGGCAGAATATTAGGAACTGATAGCCTCAAAATGTGGTCACAATTGTGGAACTTTGGTGAAATTTTGCAGGCAAAAATTGCCCACTGTCTATTGCCAGTAGTGTAGCGACCAACTTGAATCCATGTTAAATCTGTGTGGGGAATATTTCGCTCTCATGCAGGTTTCCAGATTGTGTGAATTCCTATTGAAGTGGCAGGATTCTGATTGCGAAAATTAGCTGAAAAACAGTAAATGTGACAGAAGCTTCAGTCACTGTTCACTTCCAATGATGTTTTTTTCCAAACAGTGAAAGTAAATGGTCAACTAAACTGTCAGTCTGCCTAAAATCTTTTTTGGGTTCCACAAAACATAATTTTTATTTGAATGGTCCCTTTTTAAACAGTGTTTACATTTTGAAAAAGACTAATGAATGTGAGAAAATTGCCACCATGACACTATAGTGTAGTGATTGTTGCCAGGGTGTTGTTAAAGTGTTATGAGTAGGGTTTTTTTGCGCATTACTATGCGGTTACTCGAATGCTGTGTGGATATGATATTCCTTTCCCTATGTCTCAGATCCTTCCTTCAATGTGAATATATTATTATCTATCAGGTATATATCCTAAATCCAACTGACTAGCAAAATATTAGCACACCTTTCCTAAGTAAGTTGTGATTTGAGGTGTAAAGCACTAACAATAGTGATGCTACGCTAGCAAGCATGACTATTAAACTGCGGCATTAAACAGTTTCCTCCTTCTTTGTATAGAAAACACAACCTGTTTGGACATTTACCTATAAAGGGTATTTTTAGTCTGTAGTTCATCTGCTACACATTTAAAACTCCAAACTGAAGTTTGAAAACTGGATTGTTTAATTGCACGTTTAATTTGTTCATTAGTGAGTCAGCGCTTATACATTTAGAGACTGAACAACACCCAATAGATGACAAGATATGGAATTCTCCCATGGAGAGTCATGACCTAGTATCCACGATCAGGTTGTGCATTGATTGGTCGAGAGCAGAGTCATGGGCGGGGCTTTGAATTGTGACTGATAGGGCAGATCCTAAAGGCCTCAAGAAACTCCATCTGCTGTTGAAGTGAATGATATGGCCTGATTCACATCCTTTCTGGAGATAACACTGCCTTTTTCCTGTTTGATGGGGATTGGCTGACGGAAAGGAAACCGCTTTGGAGCCGAGTTTGAAATGAGAGAGGGAATGAGTTATCACCGGACCTCTGGTGCAGCTGTGCTAGTTTCCCAGTCCCTGCTGGGCACCGCAAAGACCTGCTGACACACAACACGCTCACATCCACTGATCATCAGGAGTGTACGCATGCGTATCTCTCCCAGACACACACACATACAGGAAGAGCAGCGTTTGGAGCATCCCAGAACGGTCTGAGGGGGAGGCTGATGGATGGCCCTCTCTCTTTGCCATATGGCTACCCATCATGCCAGCACAGTTTGCCTCTCTATCGTGTCCTCTGTGAGACCACTGCATCCACTGATGATCCCGACCACTCTCTTTTATGGATGGGAACAGACAGGAAGTTATAATGGTCTAGGGAATTGTGGGATTGAGGATGTTTCACTGACGGCAGAAATTGTTAGTGTTATTTTAGTGTTGTCTGTAGTAATGTATTTAATTAGCATTTATTTTATATTCATTTATTTCAAATTAATTTTGGTTGAAGTTTCGTTAATTTGTGTTAATCTGTTTAATTTTTTTTGTTTGTTTTCATAATTTTAATACTTGCACTTATTTCAGTTGCAAAGGCAAAATTTATTTTGTTTAAGTTTGTCATCTAGTATTTATATTTTATTTTAACTTTATTTCAAATATCGTAAATGTTTTTAATAGTCTTATTTTTTTATTTTCTAGTTTTTTTTTATTTATTTTGAATAGTAACACTCCACTTCAGAAGATGCTTTATTACATCTCTCATCCTTCACAAATGGTGTTATTTAGAGCCACTTTGTTTTAGCATTGTTTTGTTTTTTATCTCTGGTTCATATATCACCCTAAAAAGAATAAATTAATGTCATAATTATAATATTTAATATTTTTTCTTGACATTGTGACTTATTGTAATAATTAAAATAATAATGAAAAATTTTGAATGACAATGAAACAAATGTTTTTTTTTCTTTACAATAATAAAACAAAAATGATTTGGGCTTAGTTGCCATGAAAACAATTTCCTTTTATTTTTGGCATAATTTATTAGTTAAAGCATTGCAAAAATATTACCCTAAAATAATGAAATGATAATATTGCATACATTTTATTATTATTGTTGTTGTTGTTGTTTGTGATGAAATATGAGCCAGAGATTCGCCAGTTTTGCTTCTAGATTTAGCTCCATCACAAGTGCTTTGTTTTGCAGGCGATGTTGTTTACAAATCTTGTCACTTTGTTGGAGAGAATGATGTTCTCCATTCTTTATATAATGGTTTGTTTGGAGTCTGTGTGTGAGTGCATGTGTCTATTGACTCCGAGCTGTTGGCTGCATGGCTGTTATGTGAGGCTTCACATGCACCCATTTAGTCTGACAGCTTCTGTCTCACGCGTTGCTAAGGTCCGGATGTGTGCCATAACAACATGTCTCAACAAGCGCACAGCAGAATGAAAGAGTGAGAAAGGGGTTTAAAAAGGTGCGTGTGTGCAGTATGAAATTAAACGCTTTAGTGAGCAGAAAGAGAGAACTGCCCTTTAAAGAAATGCTAATACGCTCAAGCTAGCAGAACCACATGAAGTGTCTTTAATGTAATTTGAAAATAGAACACTTAAACTCTGCAGGATCTAATGAAGGGTTTTAGGTTCTTTTATGGAAATGTTGATGTTTCCAACCGAGGACGGAGTTTCTGACCAAATTAACCGTATTCACTTAGTAGGGGAGAGAGGGTTGTCCTTTATTCAAGGAGAAAGGAGAATGAGGTCAAACAAATGTGCCTAATTATATTCCAGGATGTCTGCTATCAACTCAAATTAGAAGAAAGCATCTATAACTAAAGGCAATAGAAATATGACCTTCTTAAAAAGGGTGAGCAAGGGTTTCCCCCGTTTTCTTTCTTTTGTGCTTCCTAATGTATTCTGAGACCAATGTAATAGCGTTTTTCTGCATAACAAATCTACATTATGTGTTGAGTCACTTGAGTCATGGCAAATCTTTAGTCAAATCATTTATTTGATTTTATACACTGGCAATTCACCAACATGAATAATATTTTAGACTTGTTTTGACACAAAATGTCACTTTTCCTGCAAAGTGGAAAATTTATTTTGGCATGCAATAACATTTTTTGCATTTTTTTTTTCATGTGCATCATAATCACAGACAGCTGTATATGATCTCCCCTTTCCCAGTATGTGATCATAAATGATGTACAGTTTTTTTCACCCTTTGGTTTTTAACATAACATAGCAAAGTTATTGTGGACAGTGGTGTTGATGTTCTGTAATGGGTTCGTATCTAATTTCTTCTCTTTTTCTGCATCTCTCTCTCTCTTCCTCTGCAGAAAAAGCTGCTGCAGCCAATGAGGATGAAGTGCAGAAAGCTGATGTGTCGTCGACAGGCCAAAGTGTTATTGACAAAGATGCCCTTGGACCAATGATGCTGGAGGTGGGTCTGTTGTGCTCTGTTTACTAGGTTACACTGGCTCTACTGAACACGTACGAGGAAGAGCCAAGCATGAACCATGTATGGGAGACAGAGTGATAGTGAATGCCTTTTTGTATCCGTTATATAAAAAAAGAGTTGTGTTAAGAATTTGGCTGCCATTTGATGTTTAAATCTCCAGATTCCTCTGTCTCCTTGCTAAATATAGAGCTCATGAGCTGACAGTTGAGAAGATGTACACAATTTTTGGCATGGAAAACATGCTCAAGTGTAATGATGTGTCTCTGTGGCTATGTTTTTACTGCAAGATTATTACTGATTTTACTGTTCACATAATTTTTTAAAAAATGTGGCCAATATCAGATTCGAGTGTGAACTGATCACATTCCCAAAACTGACCTGCATGTGCAAAAGAAAGCCTGAAAATTTGTGCACAGGCAATAAGGAGGATAAAGACGAGGAATTAGGACTAGTTTTCGTTCCAAGTTTTGCTTGTATAGAGCTGTCACCATAATACATCTCACTGTACCTCCACTGACTACCGTCACAGCTGTCTTCCATATTAACTAACTGACGAAAGAACTACTTGTAAGTAAAATCTGTGGATTGACTCCTGTCACGCGGAACTGTGACGAATGTCGATCTAGAATGATGTGAATGTCGCATGAATTACGATATGACCACTTTAGACTGAGATTGCATTGCAAAACATCAACCTGTATTTAGTATATGGAAGTGGCCAAAATCATAGTGTAAAAATCAGATTCTTTGTGGTTTTTGCTGTTCAGACTGTTAAGAAAAAAACAGATCCGAGTCATATATGAGCACAAAAAATAGGGCAATGGGTTATTTTAGTATTATTTATATACTATTTGATATAAAATTTTTAATTAACTTTTTTTAATTTTGTGCTTTTATCATTTATATGTTTTTATTTCTATATAGCTTTCATTTATTTTATTTCAGTTTTAATTTTAGTAATTGTAACCTTTTTTCATTTTTTTAGTACTTCAGATGTTTTCAGTTGATTCAGTTCTAATTCATGTTTTTTTTTTTTTTTGAGTATTATATATATATATATATATATATATGTGTGTGTGTGTGTGTGTGTGTGTGTGTGTGTGTGTAATATTCCATCTTTATATTTTATTTTTATTTCCGCTTTATTTTAAATGCTGACAACGATTGTTAAGAGTTTTAGTTGTAGATCTAATTAACGGTAACAGAGTAAATGTTGAAACAGTTAAAATGCCTTAAAATAGTCTGTATAACTTCACATCCAACCTCAGATATGCCCTGATATAGCAGTTTTTCATTAATTGTCCACAAAATTGTCACATTATGCAATGTTGGCTCAACCAGTGGGATGAGTTTGGAGCATAACTGTCTGTTTTTCCAACCAAAGACATCACAATCCAGTCATTACTTTTCCAATTCTGTTTGCTAATGGGTTGAGGGTGAGAAAAGGGTTTTTAAAAATAAATTTTTATTTTTGGGTGAGCTATCCCTTTAAATAACAGCTCAACTCTCTCCAGTGCAAACGAACAACCGTTGGTCGGTCGGCCGAGCAGGCAGGACGCCCAGCTCTGAATGAATCCACCCATCCAGTCGCTCCATCTTTCTCTCACACCCTCTCCTCTTTAGGGTATTTATAGCCTCCGAGGTCCTCCGTCACCGAATCAACACGAAGCGGATGCCAAATATAGCCTGCGTGCTTGTGCGCTTGATCTTCCATCTGTTTGAAACGGCCGAAGGAAGGGACAATTCACACCCACACGCTATAATGCATCTAATTAAAAAAACACTTGTGACAAAAGGCCAGAGAGGGGGAAACTGACCCGACTGGCCTTTTCCACCCGACACCCATAACAGCCCCTCCAGTGTCGCCCAGGCGCACGCACTCGTGCACACAAACAGGCCTTGTGTAAAGCTTTCGCAGTTCTGCACGGCCCCCTGCCCCAGTGAAAAACCCCATTGTTTGGTGATGGAAGCTGAAGTGTGAGCAGCCATAGGATCCGCTAAAGCAGCTTTGTGTTCTTCGGAGCAGCGTGTGTCCGTTTTCAGTGTCCGCACCTCACGATGAGTTTGGACCCAGTCTCTCCATGTAAATAGGAAATAATGCAACCTCCCACAGCGGGACAGCAAGGCCAGGCCGGGCCCACCCAGCTCCATTCATGTTGCAATACACGTCCATCAGCACATTTTACAGAGTTGTATAAGTTTGGCTAAATAAAGGTGGATTTGGCATTCCTCCGTGTTTACTCTGCGATGTTTGCTGAATGTGCCCACCAGATGGCCACATCTAGAGCAGTGCACAAACAGGGACTTGTGGGCTTTTTTCGCTCGCTCCCTCTCTCTTTTTCCGTCCCTCGCTTTATCTGGTCTCTAGAGTATGTACGTTTGTTCTTAGCTTCGCTTGAGTGTTTTATTTTTTCCACGACCGACTGTTTGTGAAATAATTCTCTGTGTTAGGAAGAGGCGCTGTGTTTGTTTTGCTGATAAAAAAGATTTAGAGCTTATTACGCTCCGCAGCAGATTAAAGAATGATTTCCGAGCTGCTGCTCCACATTCTAAAGCAAACAGCAGCTTTTATAGCGATCGCTATAGGCCCTCAGGGGCCCGGCTGCATTCAGAGGCCTAATTGACACCATCTTGATAGGTAATGCTTGACTTAAGGCTGTGTTCTTTCAATTAAGATTCGTCAATATAATTTCTGTCGCACACTATGAAGCGCTGAGATTCACAAGAGCTCGTTTATTGCTGGCACAAGCAGGCAAGAAAGTTAATCTTCGTACAAAACGAATGCATTAAAGATTGTGTGGACGCTTTCACCGCAAATTCTGATAACTCTAAATGTGTGTAACTGATGACTCGGGATTAGAGGTAGATTGATATATCAGTTTTACTGATATATTGTTTATATTACATAACTGTTTTTTAATGTATTACACAAGTACAAACATTTTAATGTTCAAGTCATTAAGGTTCACTATTTTAATATTATTAATTTTAAAAACTCTCATCAAACTCTAATCAGTTTTTCTATCTCAGGTGTCAAAATGTTAGCAAAATCCAGTAATGCTCAACATCTACTAGGGATGTGCTGATATTTTTAAGTAGATAATTCATTTTGTTTGATGGCTGATGAACAATAAATATCTTTTTTTCTTTCAAAATCAGTTGAAAATGAAATGCTGAAAATTTTAATTTGTTATTTAATATGCTGCAGATTAATTTAGGCATCACAGTGTATGCACAAGTATACTATTTGGTATGAAAAATGGATATTCATTTTAAGATTCAACGATTACATTTAACAGTTTATTAGATTAACTTTAAATTAGCGTTAAATTATAATTTGAGTTTTAAAACTTTTATTCATGTCTTACTCATCTCATAGTATTCATCTTCTTTTATTCCTTAAGGATGCATGAAGTTGATCAGAAGTGAAAGTAAAGACTTTTACCATTTCTATTTCAAATAAACACTGTTATTTGAACTTTCACTTCATCAAATAATCCTGAAAAAAAAGTATCACAAAAGTATTTATCAGCACAGCTGTTTTCAACATTGATAATAAGAAGTGCTTTTTGAGCACCAAATCAGCATATTATGAATTCTGAAGAATCATGTGTCCAAAGCCTGGAGTAATGATGCTGAAAATTCAGCTTTTGCCATCACAGGAATAAATGACATTTTAATATAGAATAAATAGCATGTATTTTAAATTATATACTTGGAAATAATTATATTTCCAAGTATTACTATTTTTACTATGTTTTTGATCAAATAAATGCAGCCTTGTTAAGCACAGGAGACTTCTTTCAAAAACATTAACAAATCTTGCTGACTTTTGAGCAGTACTGTATATCTAATATCGACAATGACATTTAATTAAAAAAGCTCTAATATTGGCCAATAACCAATGTTTTCAATATATATATCTGTGCCCACTGTGTGTGTGTGTGTATATATATATATATATATATATATATATATATATATATATATATATATTTTAAGAGACCTTCACTGCACCCGTCAGGAGATGCGACATAAGCATGCACTCTAATAAAGCCGTACTCTGTAATCTGCATTTAAAATGAGGAAAAACAGTTGCTCCACTTCCCCTGTGTCTCTGCCTGACGGTATCGCTTTGAGAGGAAGCCTGTTAAAATAACCTCCTAACTGCAACTGATGAGATCTTCTTGTTTTCCTGCAGATAATTACTTCATTATGGCTTACCTGAAATGAGAAGCGAAAACACTATCAGATCATTACATTCAACCTGTTGTGGCTCAAAAACCACTCGATCAATCCATGGCCATGAATTCAGACTCATGCCGTAATCCCCTTGATTTCACTTGTTCTATCTACAAGGACTCCTCGATTTTCTGGACATCTTTTTGTTTCGTTTCTGCTGGATAACGAATCTTCCCTATTGAATGGTTACACTTTTAGATGGAGCAAGGATGTGTACTTTAGCCTTTGTTGTCTTCATATAATAATAATAATAATAATAATAATAATATTGGTGTTCGTTGCGCATCTGTGGTCACAGTACTAATAGGCTATTTTTTTCTCCTCCAGGCCTTAGATGGGTTCTTCTTTGTGGTGAACATGGAGGGGAACATCGTGTTTGTGTCAGAGAATGTGACACAGTACCTGCGGTATAATCAGGAAGAGCTGATGAACACCAGTGTTTACAGCATCCTGCATGTAGGAGACCATAACGAATTCATCAAAAACCTCCTGCCCAAGTCACATGGTGAGACTCTATTTTCCATTCATGGTTTCCTTCCCATTTAGATATTTTCATTTTGTTTGCGCTTCTAGGACCTCATCTTTTCAGGAACGACTCCTCAATACTCAAGTGTGAGCAGTTACAATTTCCACCCTGCGATTATATTAATCAGATTGAGCATTAAGAACTGGGATTTACAGAGAGGAATATCAGAATCTCCTCCTCCCTCAGTGGTGGCAGAAGGGAAGCTCACCTGCAGAGGTGAAAGAGAGGAAGGATTCAGGCTTAGAAACCATATCATTATTGGTTTTAAATGATAAATCCAGCCAGAAAACACTCATTGGTTATGGATCCCATTCATAGTGAAATCCAGTTCTATTACACACAGATGAATATTCTGTTATTAATTACTCAACCTGTCACATGGACTATTTTAGCAATGTCCTTACTAGGTAATTCATTTTCAATGAGAGTTGGTAATGTGACGCGCCATTAGAGACTGTTGGCAATGAGACAAAATGTATATTAAAAATATACACTAACTCAGTGACTTCCAATGGACTTCCAATTTATTTTGTTTTCTTAAAGTTGCGATGAAACAGAAGTAGCCACACATCTCTTTTTCTATATTGCGATGTGTCCAAGTGTAACAAATTATCAAAAAAGAAAAAATGCAAAACAGGGACTTGGTTTTATTCATCAGTGGTTGTTTGGATTTTAAGATGTGGTCATTGAAGGTGAGCTCGCAGTCAGATATGGAGAGACTAAGTGATTGGAAATGTCCTGTATATGTCCTGTATCAAGTCTTGTTTCACCATAATATTGAGTTCTAATATATTACAATGTCAAAAAAATGTCAAAGAAAAATGTAGTCTTTAATTAGTTTTAGTAATTAGTTTACAAAAATATCTTTGAAAAATATCGATGGAAACGCTGCTTTATACACAAATTGTTTTTTGAAAATATCCAGTTTTTTGCATACACTTATTTGACACCAGTTAAAGGAGACATATTATGCCCCTTTTTACAATATGTAATATAAGTCTCTAGTGTCCCCAGACTGTGTCTGTTAAGTTTCGGCTCAAAATACCCTACAGATCATTTATTATATCATTTTAACAATGCCTATTTTGAGTGGAAGCAGAAACGCGCTGTTTTTCGGGCCTGTCTTTTTAAATGCAAATGAGCTGCTGCTCCCCGCCCCCTTTTCCAGAATAGAGCTGCACCATTACAGCTCGGACCTGCTAAAAACATCTGTTTTGGTTATGATTATCATGTTTATCGCACTGAAATCATGCGTTTTAAAACCACATTAGTTGAAACTTCTGATTTTCTGAGTGCACACATCTGAAGCACACGGACAGAAAGCGGCTGTCACAGCATGTGAGTACTAAACACACAGGAGTTACAAAAACAGTCGGTTATGTCTGTGAAGGTAAACAGCTGAGAAAAAAATCACATGTTTATTTTAGATCTGTGTGGCAGCAACAATATACAGTAAATAAATCAATAAATCCACTGTTCTCTTGTCTCCTCTGAGGCTGGGACTCTAAATAGTGTTCAGTGCTCGTCTGTGCAGCCAAAGACAGAACAGTTAGCATGTTTTGCTCAGACTTTCGCCATGACATTAGAGCTGGTACACCGTTGTCTCTTGCGAAATTACAATGATGGCGCTTTGGGTGGAAATTTACAGATGAAGGGGCGGTAAAATTATAATGAGATCCCTTTGCCACGTCACCAAGGGAGTGAAATCAGATGCGCTCGTTTTCTCAGACGCTTGCAGAAAAAGGCTTCCCAAAACAAAGTAACCAGGTTCATCTTTTTCACGTTTCCTTGGTTGGTAGATGCACCGGGGACCTGATTATAGCACTTAAAACCTGGAAAAGTCCGATTTTCATGATATGTCACCTTTAAATCACTGAAGGTTACCAGTTTACTGCAATATCCAGAAGCGACATGAGTGGCAGGCGGATCATGTGCACACTCCCGTTGGAAGTCACTGAGTTAGCGCACATTTTTTTTAAATATAAACTTTAATTTTTGACTCATTGCCAGCAGTCTCTTATGTCGCTTCACATCGCCAACTCTCATTGAAAATTAATGACTTCCAGTCCCTTGCCGCTGTAAATCACCATCAGTGTGAACACCCTTTTATTCAGTAAGGAAAAGTTAGGGAATGCTGGTTCAAATGAGTGACAGTGAGTGATGTCTCTTCGCCTCCCTCCCACAGTGAACGGAGTGCCGTGGTCCAGCGAGAATCCTCGGCGGAACAGCCACACCTTCAACTGCCGCATGCTCGTGAACCCTCACAGCGAGGCCGAAGAGATGCAGGATCACGAGGCACAGCAGAAATATGAGACTATGCAGTGTTTCGCTGTGTCTGAACCAAAGTCCATCAAGGAGGAGGGAGAGGGTGAGCCACGGTTTCTTAAAACACACTTAAGCCACATGAACGGTACTGAAACTCTAGATTTAATGCTTCAAAGCAGAGCAGGAGGCTTCGGCCAAACAAAGTGACTACTCCCCTTTCATAGAGCCGGGCGTTCATTTGTCAAGCGTCCCACAAACAAGCAGATTTGAACCTATAGTTTTCAAACGACTTTTGGATCCAGTGGATGAGAATTGTTGTCTTTATCTACAGTTGTCATTTATTGCTGTCATTTTGTGGTCTTGTTGCCATAAAAAGCAGTAGTAATTTAACAAGCACTACCATTCAAAAGTTTGGGATCGGTAAGATTTTTTAAATGTTTTTGAAGGAAGTCTTTTATGCTCATCAAGGCAGCATTTATTTTCTCAAAAACACATTAAATGAGTAATATTGTGAATAATATTACAATTTAAAATAACGGTTTTCTATTTGAATAGATTTTAAAATGTATTTTATTCCTGTGATGGCAAAGCTGAATGTTCAGCATCATTATTCCAGTTTTTAGTGCCACGCGATCCTTTAGAAATCATTCTAATACGCGAGTGTGTGTGAGTGTGTGTGAGTGTGAGTGTGAGTGTGAGTGTGCGTGTGCGTGTGCGTGTGCGTGTGCGTGTGCGTGTGTGTGTAACAGTGAGTTTGAGGCAATGAGAGATGTTTAATGTTGATCTTCCTCTCTCTCTCTCTCTCTCTCTCTCTCTCTCTTTCTCTCTCTCTCTCTCTCTCTCTCCCTCACGTTTAATTTTCGCTGGGTACTGCTGGTGTGTTGAGTGATGGAGCGTCTCTCTTTATGGCCCGTCGGTGTTAGCTGTGTGCCAGCTGCTCTTTAAGCCAGCCAGCTCACCCTGGCACAGGAGACAGAGAAAGATGGCTGGAGGAGGAATGTGTATGAGGAGAGGGGTATCAGAGAGAGTTTATTGCAGAGACAGTGAAGCTGGGTCTTTATGCAGATTGGAGTGAAGACCACCCAAGGGCCATGTGTTTGCATGTAAAGACCTGTTCACATCAATTTGATGCAAACATCATGACCGGTAGCTAAAAAAGTAGAACATGTTAGCAACACCAGAATGCATTCATGAACTGTAGTCTGATTCACAAGCAAGAACCCAGTTGACACAGTAACGAGACGTCATTTAAAAAACTCTTAAACAGAAGTTACAGTTTTGAATCAGTCTGACAGATCCTTCACTGAATAAACTCACTGAATCAGTCAGAGTGGTTGCTGAATCAATGTCTGACTCACTGAATGAATGGCCAGTTTTGACCTTGTGATGTCCATCTTGAAATGAAGCAAGTACTAAAGTGTTTCTATCTCAGTGTTTTTTAAAATGTTATATATTCCTGCGATTGCAAAGCTGAATTCTTAGCAGCCAATACTCCAGTGTTTAATGTTACATGATCCTTCAGAAATCATTCGAATATGCTGATTTACTGCTCAAGAAAAGTGTTGTTGTTGTTATTATCATCATTGTTGAAAACAGTTGTGCCCCTTAATAATCCTGTAAAGTTCGTGATGCATTTTTCCAGGATTTTTAATTAACAGAAAAAAAAACTAAACAAATAGAGATATTTTGTAACATTATAAATGTTACCAAATTTTGATTCATTTTTTTAGTCTTAGTTAAATTAAAATATTAATGTCTGTAAAAATAAAATGCATCCCCATGGAGGTCAGACTGTTGGAGACATTATGATTCTCTTATGATCTTTTTGTGGGTGGATGAGGGATGACTTTTCTAACTTAGTCTCCATGGGAGCAGCACAGCAGGGTCAGCCTCCACAATGACACACAAACGAAAGGTCACGTTCCATCATATCACCCCACGCTCCACTCCGCGCCGCCCCCTCAACACACACGAACACACAGAACCAATGCTTCATAAGCACCCTTCAAAACGCTTTAATAATCTGCTATGACTTGATCTGATCTTTTTTTTGGGAGCAGCACAGCAGGGTCAGCCTCCACAGTGACACACAAACGAAAGGTCACATTCCATCATATCACCCCACGCTCCACTCCGCACCGCCCCCTCAACACACAGAACCGATGCCTCATCATTCAGAAGCACCCTTCAGAACGCTTTAATAATCTGTTATCACTGATCTGATCTTTTTCTCTCTCTCTCTGACTGTAGATTTCCAGTCGTGTCTGATCTGCGTAGCGCGGAGAGTACCCATGAAAGAGCGACCCATGCTCCCCACGCACGAAAGCTTCACCACCCGCCAAGACCTCCAAGGTAACCATGCCAACGCCACCCCTCTCTTCAAAGGGTGTTCACATCACGGTTAGCGCTCATCTCAATGCACAGCCCCTCGTTTAAAACAACAGATACTGACTTTAACTTGGAACGACTGTGTTTAATGCCACGAATATGCCTTGGCACCCAGGGCTTCCTCATGATTCATGAGGTTCAATTTTTATTGTTGAAATATAGGGCTGGTACTAGTAACTGATTACATGTAATCTGGATTACAAAATCAGATTCCAAAAATGAAGTACTCGTAATCAGATTACAGATACTTTTTTGTTGATTACATGATTACATATTTTGTCTCTCAAACACATTAAAATGCACAAATTCACGTTATTTCTGATTTGCATATAATGCAGGCATTCCCAAACATCTTTCACCAAATATATTTACTTAAAGTACCCTGAGATTTTAAAATAAATATTTTAATAAATAAATATCACATTTGTATGTTCACGGCTCTAATGGTCACATGACATGCAGGTAAACATAAAATATTTCGTTTTGTGTTTTATTTTTATTGATGTTATTTTAAAATGACTTATTTTTTATTTTTTTACTTACTTGGGGTGTGTGAAAACAGGGAAGTGTATGTGAGTAATGCATGCGGTATCTTTACTGGAAAGGTTAATCTTGCCATTTTATAGGAATTTTATGGGTTTATATTTAGAAGTGACTATCTTGTCAAGACATGTCTAAGGAAATGGCTGCATGTAAATGTGACTAAAAACCTTAGTATTCTTTTGCATACAATTTAGATGTTGTTTGTTCCTCAATGTATATTTACATATATATTTTTCAAAATTTTGATCATGTGGTTGTTTTGCAGTGCTAAGGCATGGGCAGGCGTTCAGTCCCATCTACCGGTTTTCCTTGTCCGACGGGACCATCGTCTCCGCCCACACCAAGAGCAAACTGGTTCGGTCACCTGGTACCAACGAGCCACAGCTCTACATGTCACTGCACATTTTACAAAGGTACCCACTACCGAGCCACACAGCTCTGATTATGTCTGAATCTGTGTTTTTCATGTAAATGCAATGATGTATTTTTTGAACTACTCGCATGAGTAAGTGTTTGAGTCATTTTTGACCCTCTTCTCACTGTTTCCTGTTTGATTCGGCTCTGTGTGTGAGCAGTCAGTCGAAACGCACACTTTCTAGTTCTGACAAGCGCAGTTAATGACCATATACTGAAATCTCACTGTCATGTGAGAACATCTGACCGTGTTTTCCCGGAGGCCGATGCTGGTCTCTAAACATTTCATCAGAACCAAGAATAACACGACTCCCGCAGCTACACATTGGCAAACAAGCTTTTTCACCCTTGATAATTCCTCAGAATTTGATTTCTGGTTTAATTAAGTAGCGAGTAATTGAATACGAAGGATTCCAACTTTAAAGGAATAGTTCAACCAAAAATGAAAATGTAGTTTCAGACATGTATGACTTTTTTAGTCTTGTAGAACTTGAATTAGATTTTTTTTAAATATTGTTGTTCTTTTCCATGCAGTTACAGTGCATCTGCAAGCTTCACAAATAATGCAGAAGAATCAAGTGTTCTGAAGCCATACAATAGGTTCGTGTGAAGAACAGACCAAACATTTTAGATATTTTGAAGAATGCTGGTAATTAGGGATGCACCGATACCGATACTGGTTTGACTGTATATCCTTCTGTTATTTTCACACTTAATTATGCCCATTAAAATGTATTTGACAAGTTTTTGTTACTTTCACTGTTAATTTTTTGCTTTATTCCTATAACTATTCCTTCAAGTATCGATTTCACTGTAAATCCTCCCTCGTTTTTCATAAGAGCTCATGGGAGGCATAGCAATGTCCAATTTGTGAACGAGTCATTCTTTTGAGTGAATCATTGGTTTATTTTACAAATGATCACTAAATTAGGCTAATCTGATTCTCAAATTCAACTCACAGACTCAGTCACAGCAGTTAATAAATCTAACGTTTTTTCACACAAAGCTATCATATGACTTCATAAAACTTATGACAGTACTCACCATTTATATAGACCACTTTTATGATGCTTTACATACTTTTTGAACCTTTAAAGCTTCAGTCCCTATTCATTGTAATTGCACGGAAAAGAGCGGCCATGATATTCTTCAGAATTTCTCCTTTTCTGTTCCACAAAAGAAATTCATGCATGTTTGGAATAAAGTAAATATGAATAAATTACAGGTGAATATTTTTTTCCCCCTTAAAGCATCACAGTTTCACATAAAATCAAATCATTTGGAGTGTATGGCTTAGTAAAGCTTGGATCCACAGCAGGCAGTTGTGAACACAGTTTCATGTGTTAGCTGCAGAGTTTCTATCTCTCTCACACCATGCGAGGGAGGAACACCGGTTTGCTTTCTGAGACAATAGCAGCAGTGTTAGGCTGGGGTGTCGAGCACAGATAAACATTAAACCCAGAGTGAGCTCACAGCGGGAGGGTGGCTGTCTTAAAGCACAGCATCTCCAGCACAATAACACACAGTATAGCTTGACCATTGATTCATCCTGCATGCTCCGAACAAAGGCATCTCTATGCATTTATCAGCTCGGAGCGAGTTTTTAGTATGTAGCTTGCTAAAAGCTTTAAACCGCGAGGTGATTTTTACATTAGAGGCGGATATGACAGCACAGCCTCTCGTTTTCTGTGTCCCGTGGCTTGTTTTGAGGGATGAGCACTGCTGATTTTCTTTGATGATAATTTGTTGCTCTCTTTTAACCTTCTCTGCTGAAACATACTTTAGTTAATTAAGCCATTCCTGAAATTCCGCTTAAGCTCTTTTCTCGGATTCCTTGTTTGGAGCGCTAGAAGAACCGCTTCCTGACTATGAGATTAATTTAACAAATGACTGCACTGGATTAATGTAATGAAATAATTTCAATAGAATTTACTTGGAAATCAATATGAATTCCTTGGACCACAATTAAAACAACATTGTCAACAATAGCACGTGCCATCCTGGTGAGACCAGCATGCCCTGCCTGAACTGAGGCATTGTTTTCTATTTCAGTTTTTTCCTCTCACTTTTTCCCTACTTCTCTCATTTTATGTCTCTTTCTTTTTACAATAATTAAACAAAATTTTTGCATTGTATTAAAGCTAAGCCAGGGAATTGTCGCCAAGTCATTGATATGCGGTTGCTTAGTGTTTTTTAGCATATTTGATAAATGGTTGCTTGATTTCTTAATGGCCCCTTTGGGTCCCTCTTTCAGTGTTAGTCTTTTTTGAGCATTAAATGGTATAGACTAATGGTATAAACTAAATTTTAAAACTTAGCATTAAGGGGTTAGTCTAATGGCTTATTTTAGTATTATTTATATACTAATATAGTATGTATTAATAATTTAAATCAGCTTTTTATATTTGTATTAAATTTTCATTTTAATATTTGCTGTTTATTGATTTCTTTTAGCTTTATATTGTATTGCAGTTTTAGTAATTTAGTACTTAAATTTAGTTAATACTTCAGTTAGTTGCCAAGGCAACATGTCTAATAAAGTTTTAAGTTTGTTTTTTTATCATATATTTAGATTTTTTACTTTATTTCAGTTACTAAAATTAAATTACTGAATTTTCAATTACAGATTTTTAATGGTTTTAGGTAGTAACAATAGTTGTGATTCCATTACAGATTTGCACAAAACTTTTGCGATAAAAACTAAATGTCGTTGATAAAAAACTATTGCGAAATGACCGTTTCCATTAACCGATATAATGCACCTAAAGCGTAATTTTTTTCCTCTCGCAAAAAGTCATGGTGACGGATGTTGGTAGGTTTACATATAGCCTATCGCAGCCACTGCACCAGGCATTATTTTTAATCAAAGGAGGTGTATGTGTGTATCTTTAACGAAGCAGTGCGCAGTGGCCATGTCGGAGCCGTAATGCACCGCAGATGTGTGCGGTGTAAATTATCCAAGCATTAATGGCAAGGAAATCCTCTTATACTTGACTGCGGCCACGTATGAGGTGTTTCTTGGAGGTTATAGTACATTAAAGAATGACCATGTGACACTTATGTATGCCAGGTGAATGTTTCCATTGCAGTTTTGTGAAATTTTCCTTTTTCGAATCGCCTGAAAACCACCTCATGCGAGAGTAAAAACGTTTTTTGCTATATATTTGAGCTTGTGTGAAATTGACGTGTTTCCGTTGATCGTATTTTCAATTCGCAATTTCAGTTTGCACAATTTGAAGCATAATGGAAACACAGCTAGTGACCTTTTATTATGTTCACTAATTAGGAATTTTATGTTTTTAAGCTTGTAATTGTCAAATTCACCTTTGTCTATAAAACTATGTTTGTGCTATGTTTGTGGCATGTATGTTGCAGCGTTATTTGCTCTTTAGATAATCTGTTAGTGATTATAAACGTCTATTTTTTTTCTGTTTTAGGGAGCAGCCCGTCTGTGGCATGACCCCTGATCTTGGAAATGCTCAGCATATGGGCAGAACCATGAACCCCATGAGTTCTCCCAATACAGCAGGTTCCTCCGGCGCCCCCCAGGGACAGGATGCCACCGTCAGCAGCAACACATCCACTTTCCCCTCCCCTGGTGGCCAGAAGGAGCCCGGCGCCATCGGCCCAGTACAGGGACACCGTTTTGGGTGCCCGGGAACTATAAGCCATTCGGCAACCATGCAGGCGGCTACCCCTCAGGGCAGTGGCTATCCGCTGAAGTTGAGCAGCCCGTCTCAGGGCAGTCCGGGCATGCTTTCTCCACGCCACCGAGCCAGTCCCGGAGTGGCAGGATCTCCACGCTTGCCCCCGCCGCAGTTCTCCCCAGCAGGCAGCTTACATTCACCTGCGAGCATGTGCACTAGCAGTACAGGTGGCAATGGGGGAGTAGGCGGTAATCATGGTTACACAAGCAGTTCCCTGAACGCCCTCCAGGCACTTAGCGAGTGCCACGGTGTGAGCCACGGCCAATCACTTGGCTCGCCCGACAGGAAGTTGGGGTCACCAGCCGCAGTGGGCGTCAATCTTCACATGCTGAACAAAATGGGAGCCTCAGAGTCATTCGGAGAGCAGAACCAATCAGAGCAGGGTAATGGTGGGCTGGATGAGGGCATCGAACAGTCAAGAGATGAAAAGGGCAACCTCGGCCAGTTTAACAACCCGGACGCCAGTGATCCACAGAACCGACTACGTGACAACAAAGGCCATACTAAACTCCTCCAGCTCCTCACCACTAAAACTGAGCCTATCGAGTCCACCTCACCTCCTCCAATGGCTGGTGGAGAGCCCGGGTGTAAGGACCCCGCTGGTGGCCCAGGGAACGGCGGCATGGGCACTCAAACCGGAGCTGGGACGCATGCTACTTCCCTGAAGGAGAAACACAAGATCCTTCATAGACTTCTCCAGAACAGCTCATCGCCCGTCGACCTGGCCAAACTCACAGCCGAGGCCACGGGGAAGGAGCTGTGTCAAGATTCTGCTGGTGGGGCGGCCGGTGTGGCTGAATTAGCCATTAAACAAGAGCCCGTCAGCCCCAAGAAGAAGGACAACGCCCTGCTGCGCTACCTACTGGATAAAGATGATAATGTACTTAAGGAGAAAGGCATCAAAATGGAACCTGGTGAAATAAAGATGGAGGGCAGTAAGATGCTGGGAATTAAGACGGAGAAAAATGATGGCGGCTATGACCGTGGGGAGCCGGTAAGTGATGTCGCCAACCTGGCAATATACCAAGAAATATTTAATACAAGTTAAGCTCCATATTACCACAAAATAATTTTGACTTGTACCTCATTGGAATCATGCACGTTTTGTTTTTTGTTTTGTTTTTTACTTTGAAAAGGGAGAAAATAATAGTCTGTTATAAAACATTATGGAAAATGGCATCATTTAATTATTTATTTGTCTAAATTAGTGGCAAGCGTGGTTGCCGTGAGATTGGACATGACCTAATTTTTTATATATATTATTTTTATTATTATTACTGTTGTCATATTTGTTTTTATTATTATCATCATCATTATTATTATTATTAATTATTTTATTTTGGAGAGTTCATCATTGTGAGATAATACAAGTCCAAAAAATAAAGCATGTATGTAATTTTTAGTTTATACTGTATATGCTTTTTTAAAATTGTAAATGCATTGCAATATTTTCTGTGGTAACTGATAGCATGCTGTCAATAGAGCTTAACTGAACAGAAAGTACTGAGAGTTTAAATATGCAAAACACCACCTGAATCGCTTCTGCTGGTTTTGAATTTGATTATTTTTAAATATGTTGAATCGTGATGGCACTTTGGTGAAATGCAGGAAAGATTTGTCATTAGTGGGTGTGGGTAATGATCGTTTTGGTTAAATATGAGAAGTATTGCACGTTGGAGAGGTCGTCAGCCAGTGTTGTGGATTCTCATGCAGAAATAACCGATATGACAACTGATACCAACGTGTTCAAACGCTCTTATCGCCGCCTTTTCAGTTTCATTGCTGTATTGTTAAGAGTGTATGCACCCTTTCCTTTCCTCCTTGTATCTCTTTTCGTGTTTCTCTCTATTTGGGTGTGAAAGTAGAGCAAACAACAGATTTATAAACCGGCCAATGAAGCCCCAGATCGAGGCAGTATGGTAACAGCAGGGATATAAATGACTCAGCCAGCTGGAGAGAGAGAAAGGGAAAGTGAGAGCTCTGTCACAGGAAGTCGATTCTGTGGGAAACTGGCAGGACTTTCTCAGAAGCAGCTCTGTGACATTTGAAAAAAGGCGTCTCGGTGGTGTTCCATGCATCTCATCTGGCACAGTGTTTGGCACATGCCCTACAGAGCTGGCACCGGGCACCAATCACGCCTGGCACAGCAGTGTAAAGTTAGAGAAGCGTCTGGGGCCAGGCAACAGAATAGAGAGATTATCCTGTATGGGTGTGTTTGTGCTCATTGGACCTCCCGGGCCTCTTTTAAAAGCTGTTGATTGAGCCACAAATTGAGTCATCGTTGTCAAATCAAAGCAGCAATCTCGGGAAGCTGCTGCTGTTAGCCTGTTAGCAGAATGACCTCACAGCCCCTCGGTTACCAGGAAAAGACCCAGAGTTCCGCTAGTGAGGAACCTCTGACCTCACGCTCTCCACGACAGCGCCATTGAGAACATGAAGTACAGTGATTTACCGAGCAGGGAGGCCACAGCGGGACAGGAAGAGCGCTGCTCAAGCACAGACGCGCAGAAAAAAAAGACGGAAGACTGAAGGGAAAAAGTTAATTAGTGAGGATGCGGGAGAAAGGAGGATGAAATGTGGCAGGAGTGGAGAGGGAGGACCAATCCCGAGTGAGCTGCCTACCTAGACAGCACTTACACAAAAGTTTAGGGTCAATACCATTTTTTTATGTTTATGAAGGTAGTCACTACAAAGAGTAGTGACCATGGCTGGATTTATTTATTCAAATATACAATAAAAGAACAATATTCTGAAACATTATTACAGTTTTACAGAACAGTTTTCTGTTTTAATATATTTTAAAATTAATTTATTCCTGTGATGACAAAGATGAATTTTCATCCGTCATTTCTCCAGTTTTCAGTGTCACATGATCTTTCAGAAATCCTACTGATATGTGGATTTGCTGCTCAAGGAACATTTCTTATCATTTTTCTGGAAACAGCTTTGAAGGATTCTTTGAAAATAATATTCAAAAGAACAGCACTGATTTGAAATAGAAATCTTTTGTAACATTATAAATATTTAGCTGCTAATTTTGATCAATTGAATGTATCCATACTGAATAAAAGTATTCATATCTTTAAAAAAAAAAATGTTATGAACGTTAGTGAATTTTTCTCAGATAGGACAATCCCAGAATGCACTGTGATGGACTTGGTTAATGACTGCTAATGAATATTTGGAATGGAATAATTGCATACTGTATACTGCTTGCAGTAATATGCTTTTTTGTGGTCACATGACCTCATTGTTTAATTCCATCCAGTTATTATTTTGGAAAAATAATAATTTTGTAATTTTTTTGAAAATGTACCAAAAAAAGGTGACATTCCTTTTGCTAATTTATTTGGGTTACACACTATAGTGCAGAATAGTGCAAAAATTGTAGTATGGTAGTGTCATATGTAACTATATTTTATTTAGTACTACATATGCATTGAAGAATAGGAAAAAAGTCATTCAAAATGTTATTAAAAATAAAAACAAATGAAAATGTTTCAAAAAGCATTGGAGTGTTATGTATTTTAAGTCATTAGTTTAGCAACGTGCTGACACCTGACTCGATCAACTTAAAGCGTTCGAGTCTCTTGTGAGTAATCTGATGTAGCTGCCTATGTAGACAGTGAGGTGTCTCACTAGGGTTTGGAACAGAACCACTCATCTCTCTCTTTCTCCTGTGATGAGACGAGCAGCCGGCTGGTGTGATAGAGCTGCAGCTGAGACTGAAGAGAAGCAGGGATCTGTATGAATGGTCATGATGGCAGAGAGCGAGACTCAAGGAGTCTTCACTGACACCGTGCCTCTGAGCTCGTCCACTCCTAACTTTCACCAGCGTCATTCAGTGCTCAAGGTTATTTTCACAGTTGGCTTGCAATTAAAGGCTTTTGATGACTGTGGACAGGGTGGCTTTCAATAATGCAGTTTTTATGGCAGATGGTAGAAATGATCCAGATGCACGTATTGTTGTCACCCAGGCAGCTGTGGTGGCTTCAGTCGCTCTGTTCACTGATGTATCAATCCCTCTTTCTCTCTCTCTCTCTCTCTCTCTCTCTCTCTCTCTCTCTCTCTCTCTCTCTCTGCCATAATGAACTGAATCTGGGCATATTATTATAAGTGTATATGTATTATTTCAGGGATCTGAAGTTGGATAATGTTCTGCTGGATAAGGATGGTCATTGTAAACTGGCTGATTTCGGCATGTGTAAGGAGGGAATGTTTGAAGGTGTTGTCACAGGAACGTTCTGTGGAACCCCAGACTACATTGCTCCAGAGGTGATTCAAACACTCCACCCATTCAGCTCTCGTCTATCTCTCTCTCTCTCTCTCTCTCTCTCTCTCTCTCTCTCTCTCTCTCTCTCTCTCTCTCTCTCTCTCTCGCTCAACCTATTGATCATTCAATCTCTCACAGTCTCTTTTACATCCTGTATGTCCCAGTTTGCATCTCTCTTGCTCTGTTTCAAATCAGCTGTGTAGCTCAACAGCATTTTACAGCATCATAAGCACAGTTAAGATGCAAACGCTGTTCTAAAAGGTAGGCAGTGACATTACAATGTCTTTCTTATAAGACAGCTTGTTTTGGCCAGATTTGCATCTCATGCATACTTCATGGAAAAGGCAGTCCCATAATGCATTGCAACAAGCTCCGTGAAAGGCTATGTTCGAAATGGAATGCCCAGTATATAACATATTGTATGATACATAGTTGATTTCTGACCTCATTCTCACTCCCGTTATTGTACAAGATGACTGATGGAGAAAAAAAAGTATTGATAAATATTATAAATCAACCAATAAGATAAAATATATAGTTAAAAACAAATTAATATAATTATAAATTGACCTTTTTTCCCAATATTTGTTTTTGTTTTTTTGACTGAAATTTTTTTTTAAATTAATTTTACAATTTTAATTGTAAATGTATTATATAATTATACATTATAATTATATTTTAAAATATGAATTATGTGGTGAGCGGGGGGTTTTATTTTTATTTATTTTTTTACCTGTATGCTGAGTGATAAGAATTACACGTAGTTAAGTTATGATACGTAATCAGAGAGTGGGGAGATGGGGGGATTCTCCCGGTCTATATGTCTCTCTGCATCAGCTAAATAATTTTTTTATTCACAGTGAATCGGAGTTAAAACTCCCACCCGTGTGACACTCCAATAGCAGACCATGCAAAATACTCAAAAGTATTTAAAATATTGCAAAGTAATGTTGCAACCTTGCAAACAATAATAAAATCAGAGAAGGACTTCAACTGTAAGCGACACAAGCATACGCAAAACAATATGATGTTTGTTATTATTAAAATGTTATATAGGCATAGCCCACATTTTTATAAAAAAAAATAATAATTATTTACCGCTAGGCAATAACGTTGACAATAACATATATCTTCAACATACGTTGTCTATGGTGTATATATATATATATATATATATATATATATATATATATATATATATATATATATATATATATATATATAATAAAATCTATAGACATTAAAAAATGGACACAACAAAATGACTAAAGCTTGCATTTCAATTAAAACTTAACATATACAAAAATAACTAATTTTGAAGTATTTAAAAAAACAACTTTAATGGTGTCTCAATGATAATACTAAATTAAATGGTGAGCAGCACTATTTTGTTGCTGCCTACTGTATGTAGAGCGTTCCAGATAATTAAATTTATAACGTTCAGTTTTAGTTATAGCATAAATAAGCAGACAGCTAAGCAACCCGCTGGAAACATTGCTAGGTTTTTTTGCGCTTTTGTGTCTCTACATACTCATACATAGAATGATGTTTCTATTTGGGGCAGCGCTGGTTTGTCTTTCCCTGAGTGTGCTTCTATAGATGTGCTTTGTATGTGTGTTACAGTCTGATGCGCTCGCGTAGGTGTGTGTGTGTGTGTGTGTGTGTGTGTCTCTGCAGCAGGAAGTGTGACTCAGGATAGGGTGTCACTCCTCTGCCCTTCCCAACCCCTCACAGAGCTCTAATCGGCATCCTGACACCATTCCTCGATTGCACACACACACAAGCGGTGCAGACAGCTGTCCCCACCATGACACTGTCGCTTTATTGGTGGTTCCTCTGTGTACCAATTAACCCTGTAACCCCTCTTACCCCCTCGGTCCTGCTCCTGTCTACACGACTAACTGCCCTCCGCCCCATCAAACCAGCACTGATATCTTATTTCGCACTTGGACTAACGGTGGAAGTTTGGCATTCATAGCATTTCTTTAGGGCTCTTCATCAGGGGGTCCACAACCACAGGGGTCCTCTGCAGTACTGCATAGCAGCAGTTATTGTGCTATCTTATTTTTCTGAAAAATAATTGCATTGAAACAATATTATATGAAATTCAGCTAAAGCTAAAGAAGCTAAAGTTATGCTAAATGATTCATTCTCCAACCTACATTCAAATGTATTAGGTAAAGTTACAATGTAATATACAAGGTTACGACCCATTAAAATAAGTGTTTAAATATATTAATATGGTATAGTAGTCGTGTTTTTATATTCCAAGCTTATAATGCAACACTAAATGTTAGACAGTACTTAATGGTGTTTCTTCATTTGTCAGTCTATCCACTAAAGGTCATTAACCTAAAAAAGGTTGAAGGTTGAATTTTTGCTTGCAACTTATCGAGAATTCAGAAAACTTCTTTTAGTTATCATAAATTGTCAAGTAGTGTGACATATTTGACTTTAAAATAGAATTGTTCTCATTCTTTTTAAAGTTCAGGGCCAGTAAGATGCATTAAATTTGACAGTAAAAACATTTATAATGTTACTAATGATTTCTATTTCAAATATTTGAAATCCTTTCCTTTTGAACTTTCTATTCATCAGAGAGTGCTGGAAAAAAATTATCTCAGTTATCTCAATAATAATAAGAATTTTGTTTCTGGAGAACCAAGTCAGCATATTAGAATGATTTCTGAAGATCATGTGACACTGAAGACTGCAGTGGGACTTAATAATAATGATAATAATGATACATTTCATTTGCCATGCCTTAAGACTGTTAAAGTGAACAGCAAAAAGTGATTTAAAATGGTTAAAAACTTGTTTTAAAAAAGAAATAAATTACTGCCAGTCACAGAACCTCTAAATATACACTTTCTCTTGTATGTTCATATGCAATTCAACTTAAAATTGTGATGTTAACAGTCAAAGTTCATGGACATCATTTATCAATGACCCACATCCAAAAGTGTAAATTATAGTGGAATATGTCAGATAGTTCTGCCGGTAGCTGATGAGAAACACAGCTCTCATAGATCTCCACGCAGGGAGCTTTTCCACTATTGGCTCAACATCACGCTGACGTCAGTGCTCCCACTGGCGAGAAAGTGATCCATGAAGGTGCAGCTCAGTGCGATATAAAGAATCCATGCTAATGCACAGGCACCTTCCTGTCTGGACTGAGCGAGTGCACACAGATAATACACAGGAGAGAGAGCAGGGAGTGATAATTGGAAAGAAGAGGAGAGAAAGGCTGAAACAAGCAGCCTGTGAGATGCATGGACAGTGAATAATCAGCAGCAGGTTTGATTCAAGAGGGCAGCCAGGGACAGGTGGTGCTCACACGTGTGTGTGTGTGTGTGTGATGAGAGAGAGAGACTGGGAAAAGAGCTTCCGAGCGCTACACAAGGAGAGTGACCTCATTAAGCAGTTCCTCCTCTCAGCTCACATCCTGTTTGTGCAGCGCTTTTCCTCCACACTGCACACTGAGTCACAAATCAATGGCAGGAGAGGCCGACAGCTTCATTAGGCTGCAGACAGGCAGCATGAAGGCAAAATTTCAACCCACAGAATAATATACAGCATGTGATCTTTGACCTTTGACCTTAACTACTCTACACAACAACCCCTAAACACACACTCACATGAACTCTCATCCACTGTCCTGAAATGAAAGTTACTAGACATCTAAATATATACTGTATATATATATATATATATATATATTAGGGCTCAGTTTAACATGAAAAATAATGCGTTTAAAATATTTTAACGCAGTTAACGCTCTTGCCCCGCCCCCAGACCTGTACGTCATCTTACATTTCATATAGTTGACTGTTGACAAATATGATGCAGGGCAACAACTCCATGAATGCAGTTATGTCCTAAAAGTCAAGATATTGGGGCAAAAATGCTCCTGTATGAGTTTTTGTCTCATATTTATATCATATGATAAGCGATATCACATGAACAGTGCGAGCATATCACACAAGTGCTGTTTATGTCCGAATACCATGAGTGCAAATGTGATTTTATACAATTCAGTAAATATGAAGTTAATATTGTTATATTTTAAACACAATATTTTCTGTTTTTTTGCTCAGTTTTACCTAATTTTAAAATTACATATTTTGCATGTAGTTTTCTATAATGAAATTGTTAATCTGGTTTTCATTTTAATTTTTATAATTAAATTGATTTATTTAAAGTTGGCAGAGAATACCTTCCATATGTAGATAATCATGAAAATAAATACATATTTAGTCATTTCATATACATCTATATAAGTTATATAAATTATGTATTATAAATGGAATCATGCAGATGATAGATAGATAGATAGATAGATAGATAGATAGATAGATAGATAGATAGATAGATAGATCAGTCTTGTGCTGTCCTGATTGTAACATAGATGTCACGTGTGCTGCCCCCTTGTGGTGGCTTAAGGACTTTAATGCATGTTTATTAAAAGTTCCAGGCGTTCTCCTAAGCTCTATAATATTAACCAGCATAAATGTTTATATCTCCAAATGTAAAGTGCTTGTGTAGGGGACACTTGATTTAGCATTTATTTAGTGTCATTTAGTAGAAGTTGTATGCATTTTTAGTCTTTTCTGATAGACGATGACAGCCTTGGATAAACAAAAGTACAGTTCTGAATCTTCGAGTTGACATTGTTTATCTGAAATGCACTGCTGTAAGAAGGTTTCTTTATCTCAGCAGGCCGAGTTGGACTTTGTCAAACTCAAGCCAGAATAAAAAAGTTGCAATGCATTAGGGCAGATGTTTCAAATGCAACATAGATACATCAGAACTGTAGTGCACTACAGCCAAGTGTGCATTTAGATTTCTAAGGTAATAAATATTTTTAAAAGCGTATGATGGAGATGAAAGGATTTAATCAAAGTCAGTTCGATGATGTATTATGATGATGTCAAGCTGCGTTCCAGGCCGTGCAGAGTGTGTTTGCCTGTGTGCATTTAGAAGATCTTGCTCTGATGGAGAAGCAATCTAGGGTTTAAAGATGGTAACCAAACCATGGCAAATGGAGTAGTGTTCAGCTAGCCTCCTTTTAACTCAGTGTGAAGTGTGTCCTAGATTCCAGCCCTGTGTGTGTGTGTACATGTGAGAGGGAGAGGGGTGTGTTTCAGCAGGCAGACTTCGAACTCTCCAGCGTTTCCCTGCTGAGGTCTAAATCCACAAGACTGAGATACCAAACCTTGTAACTATGTTGTTATTTATGATAAGATGCATTGGAATGTTATGCACAAGAGGATATTTTCATGTGCATACAAAACCCACCAGAAATTTGACCTTGACAAACACATTTTTGATATCTTATTAGACTACAAACTGATTAGACTAATGAAAATACTAAGCTAAAGGAATTCCCTTTTGTGTTTGCAGTCGAGCGAGCTGGATGATATTCTGGATGATCTACAAAACAGTCAGCCGGGCCTGTTCTCAGATTCCCGGCCAGTGTCTTTGCCTGCTGCTGTGGACAAGCAGTCAATCATCAATGACATCCTGCAGATGACTGGAGAGGGTGGAGCCAGCATGGGTCCCCAGCAACAGAGAGCATTGCAGGCTGTGGGCCAACAGAGTGAGTAACACACACACACACACACGTTCTCCTACAGTTTTCAGCCAGTGTCTGGAATAAAGTACACGACTTCTGAACAGATTTAAAAACATTTGGCATTATGTACTTGTCAAATTGGTAAACAGTTTCAAAGAAAAACTAAACGACTGAGGGTACGTTCACACATCATTGATCAGTCTAAAACAGTTCTATAGGAACTACCAGTGACATAAGTGTATGCTGATTGACCAAGCGCATACGAGGCACCAGCTACCTGGCAGAGAGCATTGCAGGCTGTGGGCCAACAGAGTGAGTAACACACACACACACACACACACACACACACACACACACACACGTTCTCCTACAGTTTTCAGCCAGTGTCTGGAATAAAGTACACGACTTCTGAACAGATTTATAAACATTTGGCATTATGTACTTGTCAAATTGGTAAACAGTTTCAAAGAAAAACTAAACGACTGAGGGTACGTTCACACATCATTGATCAGTCTAAAACAGTTCTATAGGAACTACCAGTGACATAAGTGTATGCTGATTGACCAAGCGCATACGAAGCACCAGCTACCTGGCATTTTTAAAAAGCCATGAACTCCACAAACATGGAAAACAATGATAACGTTGTTATAGGAGATTAAAGGTCATTGCACACGGAGTCTGAAATTCTCGCACGTTAACAAATAAATATGACCTCACATTGTGTCAATCACGTTTACACAATGTCTTCGAAACTTTCGTCCGCCATAAAAAGAAAAAATCGGATCAGGTTTGTTTTTCTGCGTTTCGTAAAAAACATTTTGATAGGAAAGGATGACGAATACGAAAAAATGCATACGAAAATTTTGGACTCTGTGTGCAAGGACCCTTAGTCAGACCTTCGTGCTCTTTCAGTTGCATAAATTGTGCATTTACATTCCATCTCCGTTATCACGAAGCTCACAACACACAACAAAAACGGCTCACGGCATTCTCCATTCACTGGTTGTTGACGTTCGTAAATGATCCGCAAAAATGACTAAAACCGCTGTATTATGCATGCCAGGCCAGTAGTTGGCAATGTCACTTTGTATAACAACACTGTGCACATGCCTATAGACTGAACAACGTAATATGCATGTGCATGACTTCACTGTTTTCACAAATGTTCATTTTTGTAGCTTACACATAATAAACAATATAAACAATATAGTTTTCAAAAACTTGCAAGAAACTCATGCAGAAACGTGCCTCATTTCTAGGAGATGTATGGCAAATGAACAGTGTGTGCTCTAAAATTGCCTCAAAAAATCAAACATGTTTGATATCCTCCAGCTGAATGTCTGAAGCTGAAAAAATCGGTCCATTGTACATTACGTGATTTTCTGTGAAATCTGTCCTCTCAAATCTGCAGACAGTGTTAACTTGTGTCAATTTGTCCAGACTGTAAATCAGGTCATGAAATCCAGTCATTCCAATAGGAATCTGTGTGAGGGCAAAAAAATGATGCAAATTCGCTGTGCTGACCATCAAAAAGCTACTTGGTGAAAGTGACTTCTGTGTGAGCTGTGCTTCATCTCAACACTATTGATAATGTACAGTGTACATTTTTTCATGTTAATTGTAGCTAATTTAACTGCACTTTAAAAGACAACAAGTGAACAAATGCATAAATATTGCAAGTTCTTCACAAGCATGCTTGCTTGTGTAGAAATTGTCATATAATTGCCTTATCGCTCATATGTATGCACACACTCCCTCTTGAACGAGAGTTGACCAATTTAACACATTGGTTTGAGCTTTGCCTTATATTATGTAATCAACTTCCTTTAGGACGACTGTATGTCAACCTTTAACCAGCTCTGACATCATAATCCTATCCAATAGTAAATGTGAATGTACTGTATGTTTACAAGGAGTTTCACTGAGTAGTCTTGGATTTTATTTGCAGTTGCTTACAAGGTGACAGCAGGAGGAAATTTCCTGTGTCCACGAACAGCGTCCCAATGCATTTGCAAAAACATATTTGGAATTACACAAGCCTGAAAATGGGTGAACCCATAGTGCTTTATGTTTACTTGTCATAATTTTTGTGAAACACCCTGAAACTATTCAAGTATGCCCAGAGGCTGAACGAAACTCTAAGCTGGTGGAACATGAGTTTCTCATGACGCGTTTGCTTCTCACCTGCATCATTTCAGCTGTGTGGATATTCTCTCTCACGCACTGTCATCGGAGACTTGCCAGAAATGGCAAAGACCACTAATGTTACACAGTTTGTGTGTGTTTAGTCATTTACATGAGCTAAACACTGACAAGTCGACTACTTTTAGTACAAACCCTAGTGTTTTCACACAAACCATTTTATGATGCTTATAATAAACAGCACACATTTTACAGAATCATTCACTCATTTTTCAACAGTGATTTTCCCTACACTGCCATTCAAAAGTTTAGGGTCAAGAAATTATTACTTTTTCAAGCAAGGAGACGTTAAATTTATCAAAAGTAACACTAAATGCATATATAGTTACAAAAGATAATGCACAAGATTCTTGTTACAAGATAATAATTACAAAAGATTATATACAAAATATATCCATTTCAGATAAATGCTGTTCTTTTCAACTTTATTTATTTATCAGAGAATCCTGTATCTCAGTTTCCACAGAAATATCAATAAGCACATGTATTTTGAACACTGATAATAAGAAATATTTTTAAGTACCAGTCAGCCTATTATTGTACTACTAGAAAACTGTTGTATTGTACTTTGAATCTTATTGTTTTTACTGTATTTTGATTATATAAATGCAACTTTGGTGAGCATAAGAGACAGTCTTCAACTCCCAAGTTTTTGAAAGTTTGTGTACTTTCTGTAAACTGTTAATACCAGAGTTCTTTTTTCAAGTTTGTCATTTATTTAGTTATTTGCTGTTTGTGTTCATAGTTTTCAGTGCTCAGCGACCAGGTCAGCCCGGCAGAGCTCCTCCGGTCAGAAGCGTGTCTTTGGATATGAACATGCCTGCTAAAGGCGCTCAGGGTCAGTACCCTCTGATGAGGAACAACAGCCCCTACTCGCTCATGCAGCAGCAAGGCATGATGGGAAACCACAGCGTCATGCCTAATCAGCCCAACATGGTCAATGCAGGTGAGTTTAGCTGGGGTCAGAAATGCAGCGCACTTCAGTGCTACTGATGCAATAACAAAAAAATAAAGGACAGAAGTGAAGTTTGTCTGTGCATATGCTGCAGAACAAAGGGCTTCCCCCACACTTAACACCTACAATGAGAGGAAAGTTCCAGTGCCGCACCGACCATGTACAAACCAAAGTTTCAGCATGATCAGTAATGCACAGTCAAGCATGACGCTGTTGGCTGAGAGGAAGACAAATGTGTAAAACGGCACAAAACTGTTGTCAGATCAAAAGCAAGCCCCTTTTGTTTTTGTGTTTGTGTGTAGTGGGTTGCATTCGCTTGCAACTGAATGTGCACATAAGGTGAGACTGTGAGCGGCTAGATATGAATGACTCATAACCTTAGGAAAGAATAGCAGGGCTTCTGGTGTGATCATGTCAGCATGTTTTTTGGGTGGTCGGATTTTTAAATATCACATTTCTGAGTATGAAATGATATATACCACTATTTTTTTCTCTATCTGATTTTTTCAGTTGACCCTTAGCTTAGGACTTTGATACTGTTGCTATGTCAGACAAGCTTTACAAAACATACAGACATGTTGCAAAACATATAACATTGTGCCTTATTTTTTGACAATTTGATAACACATTAGTATAGGGAACAATTCTCACTATTAACTAGTTGCTTATTAGCATGACTATTATTAACATATTGGCTGTTTATTAGTATTTATAAAGCACATATTCTGCATGACCATATTCTACATCCCTAATCCTACCCAGTACATAAACTTAACAACTACCTTACTAACTATTAATAAGCAGCAAATTAGGAGTTTATTGAGGCAAGAAATTAATAGTGACTTATTTTGTTTCACAAAAAAGGTCTGTGGTGTTATTATGCACCATTTATAAGTGCATGTTTTTATCAAAGAAAAAAAGTTTTCATTACTTTTCATAAAAAAAATAACCCTTTTCTCCACTTATAGAATTATGTTGTTTTTCCACTGAATAATATTATCAACAAACCATTAACTACGACTTTTGCCTCAATAAACTACTAATTTGCCAAATTTCACAACCCAGTTAAATAAAACAGTATTATAATATTACTATTTAAACTTATTTTTTATATTTTAATAATTCTATTTTAATTTTCTATTTCTATTTGATCTTTAAATAATCCTTTTGGTCACACTTTATTTTAAGGTCCAATTCTCGCTATTAACAAACCATTAACTATGCCTCAATAAACTACTAATTTGCTACTTATTAATAGTTGGTAAGGTTTAGTTTAGGTATTGGGTAGGATTCATTCAATTCAAGTTTATTTGTATAGCGCTTTTCACAATACAAATCGTTGCAAAGCAACTTTACTGAAAATGAAGTTTCTACAATATATTTAGTAGTAGCTTATCAGTGGTGACTATGTCAGTTAATGTACATATGGCAGAAATGTACGGAAAAATCAATTAAAGACGTAATCAAACAGACGATGAGCAGCAATTATTATATGATGCAATCAAACTTGTTGCAAAAATTTGGTAGGGATTAGGGATATAGAATATGGTAATGCAGAATATATGCTTTATAAGTACTAATAAACAGCCAATATGTTATTAATAGGCATGCTAATAAGCAACTAGTTAATAGAAAGAATTGGTCCCTATACTAAAGGTTTACCATCCTTTTTAACATTATATACAGTAATGCACAGTCAAGCATGACGCTGTTGGCTGAGAGGAAGACAAATGTGTAAAACGGCACAAAACTGTTGTCAGATCAAAAGCAAGCCCCTTTTGTTTTTGTGTTTGTGTGTAGTGGGTTGCATTCGCTTGCAACTGAATGTGCACATAAGGTGAGACTGTGAGCGGCTAGATATGAATGACTCATAACCTTAGGAAAGAATAGCAGGGCTTCTGGTGTGATCATGTCAGCATGTTTTTTGGGTGGTCGGATTTTTAAATATCACATTTCTGAGTATGAAATGATATATACCACTATTTTTTTCTCTATCTGATTTTTTCAGTTGACCCTTAGCTTAGGACTTTGATACTGTTGCTATGTCAGACAAGCTTTACAAAACATACAGACATGTTGCAAAACATATAACATTGTGCCTTATTTTTTGACAATTTGATAACACATTAGTATAGGGAACAATTCTCACTATTAACTAGTTGCTTATTAGCATGACTATTATTAACATATTGGCTGTTTATTAGTATTTATAAAGCACATATTCTGCATGACCATATTCTACATCCCTAATCCTACCCAGTACATAAACTTAACAACTACCTTACTAACTATTAATAAGCAGCAAATTAGGAGTTTATTGAGGCAAGAAATTAATAGTGACTTATTTTGTTTCACAAAAAAGGTCTGTGGTGTTATTATGCACCATTTATAAGTGCATGTTTTTATCAAAGAAAAAAAGTTTTCATTACTTTTCATAAAAAAAATAACCCTTTTCTCCACTTATAGAATTATGTTGTTTTTCCACTGAATAATATTATCAACAAACCATTAACTACGACTTTTGCCTCAATAAACTACTAATTTGCCAAATTTCACAACCCAGTTAAATAAAACAGTATTATAATATTACTATTTAAACTTATTTTTTATATTTTAATAATTCTATTTTAATTTTCTATTTCTATTTGATCTTTAAATAATCCTTTTGGTCACACTTTATTTTAAGGTCCAATTCTCGCTATTAACAAACCATTAACTATGCCTCAATAAACTACTAATTTGCTACTTATTAATAGTTGGTAAGGTTTAGTTTAGGTATTGGGTAGGATTCATTCAATTCAAGTTTATTTGTATAGCGCTTTTCACAATACAAATCGTTGCAAAGCAACTTTACTGAAAATGAAGTTTCTACAATATATTTAGTAGTAGCTTATCAGTGGTGACTATGTCAGTTAATGTACATATGGCAGAAATGTACGGAAAAATCAATTAAAGACGTAATCAAACAGACGATGAGCAGCAATTATTATATGATGCAATCAAACTTGTTGCAAAAATTTGGTAGGGATTAGGGATATAGAATATGGTAATGCAGAATATATGCTTTATAAGTACTAATAAACAGCCAATATGTTATTAATAGGCATGCTAATAAGCAACTAGTTAATAGAAAGAATTGGTCCCTATACTAAAGGTTTACCATCCTTTTTAACATTATATATGTCTATACTGTCACTTTTGATCAATTTAATTCATTCTAGTTGAATAAAAGTGTTCATTTCTTTTAAAAGAGGTGTCACTGTCCACAAACTTTTGAACAGTAGTGTAAATTCTCACTGAATATTCAAAAATGATCGCATTATTTGTATTTAATAAAAGTTACCTTCAAATTGAAAGCCCTTCTCTTTCTATTTCTTAAAGGAGTGATGGGTAATAACGGTCCCCGTGTAGGTATGCAACAGGACGGTTGGGGCGCACAGGGTCCCGGTCCCGGTCCCGGTCCCGGTCCCGGTCCCGTCGGTAGCGCGGCCTCACCCGTCACAACTGCTCCCGCCGGCCAGCACTCTCTCCCGCAGGGGGCGCTCCACTCTCGCATGGTGCCCAACTCTGGAGCAGGCATGCCCATGAGGCCCAACAGCCAGCCTGGACCCAGACAGATGCTTCAGTCCCAGATGATGCCCAATGGTAAAAACACATAGAGCAGGAAGAGTAGACTTTTTAGTGGGTGATTACTTACAATTAAAACGGGTGTTTTCTGCAGTTTAAATCATGTTTTATCATCTGCTGTTTCTTCCTCAGCCCAGTCAAACATGGACATGGGCATGGCTGGCCACCAGTTTCCCCAGCAACAGGCACCGCCCAATCAGACGGCTCCATGGCCAGACAGTGTGATGCCTATAGAGCCGGTGCCATTTGGGAACCAGAACAGGTAAACAACATTTATTAGTGTCACTATTGTTAGGTCCTCCACTTTATTGGAGGTGTGTGCTGTGTGCACTTGTTGATTTTGTCCTTCCGTAAGAAAATAACTAGACAAATACACTCAGATGTAATATGTGATGGGATATCCCATCATTCAAGTCTCAGTTCTTTAATGAGAGTCTCTCGTCTCTGTAAGCTCTATGTATAGCGGTTCTCAGGAGGATGTTCTGTGCCCTCCTGCCTCTGAGGGTCCGGCTGATGAGGTTACTTTGCTCAGCCAGCTCTACACGGTTCTCAAAGATTTTGACGGCCTAGAGGAGATTGACCGTGCTCTAGGCATCCCAGCTTTAGTGGGACAGGTAGGTTGAACACTTTTGTCTCTTTTTTTTCTTTAACCATATTGACCAATCAAAATACTAGTGATGCACCGAAATGATTTTTTTTTACCATACATCAAAACCAAAATTAAACTTTATTTAAATATCTATTAATTAATCAAATGTTCTTACTACTTGCTATCAAAAATGAGTTTTTATTAATCAGCTAATTAATCAGATTTACTCAAAAAATCAGCACTCATATCAAACATTTAAATTGCACCCGAGTTAGTTTTTATATCAACTCTTTAATGATATAATTGTTTCTACTCCAATTTGTTGTTAAAAATATAAACATTTAAACGGTGACTGTAATAAAAACTTGTTTTCATGAGAGTTTGTTTAAACTTGCATTAAATAATGAAAACAAAAGTTTATTTCTTTCACATTATTGACTAATCAAAATACTAGTGATGCACCAAAAAGTTTTTTCCGCAAACACAGAAACCAGGTTTTCATTTCATGGAAAATGAAAGGTTTTTTTATTAATCAGTTATTAATATTAATTAATCAAATGTACTTACAATAATCAACACTCAAATAAAAACTGAGTTATATATAATCATTTTCATTGCATGTAAGGCAGGTTTATATGACCTTTTTTAATATAATCATGTTTCTACTCCAATTTTAAATGCCAACATTTACTTGGCAGCTGTAATAAAACTTGCTTTCATGACAGATTTTGTGCAAACATAAGTAATGGAGAATAAGTTAAGTAAAAATATAATAAATATATAATATAGTATATTAGCAAGATTCTCCTCTCTAGAGTTATACAAACTAACAAACTATAGACACTAAAAGGGGTTCCGAGGTAAATGTAACTTTACATGACATTATTTACTAGCTGTTTTATTGCCATCTTTCTGCAGTTGAAACACTGATTGAATGGTTATATGACACAAGATTCTTTTTCAGTTGCTGAAATTTTAGTGCATCAATACAAAATCCCGGACCAGAACAATCTGATTTATTATGTGCACCAGCTATTAGTACCACACACACACGACACGAGAATGTAAAGATACGGCGTTGCTAAGTTTAAGTTTAATGGTTCAGGCTCAGCCGGTGGAGCAGGATCAGTTCCCCGGTCAGGACCCCAGTATGATGATGGATCAGAAGCCGCCCATGTATGGCCAGCAGCAGTACGCCGCCTCCCAGGCCCACATGCAGCAGGGCGGCTACACGCCCATGCAGGACCCCAGCTTCCACGGCATGACGGCACAGATGGGGCAGAGGCCGGGCTACCCCATGCTCCGCATGCAGGCTAGACCAGGACTCAGGCCCGCCGGGGGCGTCCCCACCCAACCCAATACACTCAGACTGCAGCTGCAGCACAGGCTACAAGCACAGCAGGTACAGTTTTTACTCCCATACATGAGAAGAAAGAACAGTCCTGAGTGAAGTAGAATAAAATGGTTGTATTTTTATTTCTTAATCATAATGTTGTCTGATTATGCCATCAATATTAAGCACAGTAATCATTTAGTTAAAGGGATAGTTCTCCCAAAAATATAAATTCAGTCATCATTGACTCACCTTCATACCATGTGACCTCTCATGCCTTTAAACACAAAAGAAGATATTTGAAAGAATGTTAGTAACCAAACCGTTTTGGTGACCATTAACTTCTATTGTATTGACAAAACCCTTTAAAATGTATATAGACAATATAATATAATTTTTTTCGCTCTGACACTTAATTGGTGACACTTCGCTTTGTTAATCCAAAGACTTAAATGCATGATCTTTTTTTCCATTCATATACATGCATTTTAAAGCAAAAAGTGTAATTTAATCTAAATCAGACCGTCTGTGGTTAGCTGTCCCCTGCTGGACATTACAGGAATCAATCCTTGACCTCATTTTGGGTTTATTTAGGGGTCATGCCTCATAACTGTTATGTTTCTAACAATTTGAAGCTACAATCAGTGATTATATATAATTAGATTGAATTTTTGATGTAATTAAGATTCAACTATTAATTGTTTATATATATATATCACAAGTACATCCATAATGCACTATTTTACTATTATATACTGTAAGTATTTATACGTTTTTTTTATTATATAGTAATTGTGTATTTGTAAAATACTATATTGCACGTTGTCAAGTTTCAGTGCCATTCGAAGACTGATATTTTGTATACAGCTCTAGAATATATTGTGTTCGAAATGCCTGTCAATTAATATTACCTTCTAGTGCTATCAAATCTATTAATCACATCCAAAATAAGAGTTTATTTACATAATATATGTGTGTGTGATGTATGTAAATATTCACACATACATGTATATATTTAAGAAATACATGTAATATATATTTATATTTATGTATAATATAAATCATACATAAATATGAATATATATATATATATATATATGTGTGTAAAGATTTCTAAAATATTATATGCATGTATGTGTGTGTATTTATATATACATATGAATATACACAGTATGCATTGCACACATATATAAACACAAACTTTTATTTTGGATGCGATTAATCGATTTGACAGCACTATTAACTTCTTGTTCATCACTCTTTTATGTAAAGTCAGTATACTACAAACAAGAGTGCTGTTGTATTGAACAGATCAGTTGTTTAAATGTATCGCTTACGTATTGAATGGTAGAATGAGTGATGCTTCTTTTGAAATAATACTACAGTTTGCCACTTCTGTTTGTGTCTGCTCCAGAATCGTCAGCCTATGATGAATCAGATGACTGGAGTGTCAAATATGAACCTACCTCTAAGACCCAACGTTCCGAATCAGGTACATCGAATCACTTCTTGCATTCTCCCTTGTGCTCCGATCTCGAGCTTGCCTAAACTCTCTGTCTTCCCAGGGGACAATCAATGCTCAGATGCTGGCCCAGCGGCAGAGAGAGCTGCTGAGTAATCACTTGCGCCAGCGTCAACTGGACCAACAACGGCAGCAACAGCAACAGCAGCAGCAGCAGCAGCGCAGCATGGTCATGCGAGCCCAGGGCCTCAACCTGCCACCCAACATGGCAGCGGCCGCAGCAGGCATGCCCGGAGCCATGAGCAACCCGCGGATCCCCCAGGCCAACCCCCAGCAGTTCCCCTATCCGCCCAACTACGGTACAGGACTGGCCTCGCCGCCTCCCTCCAGCAGCCCTTTCTCCCCCGGTTCTCCCAACCTCCCCGCCCCCCAGCTCCTCTCCCACAGCGCCATGCATGGCTCTCAGATGAGTCTAGCTAACCAGGGGATGCTGGGCAGTCTGAGCGGACAGTTTGGGGCTGTTATGAGCCCTCAAATGCAGCACAGTGCCTTTCAGTTCCCCAGCTCAGGTACTGCCTGCCCTTTCTCTCTGTCTGTGTGTCATGCGCTTTCACACACACGCACAAACACCTGCGACCAGCAACACTACAGGCTGAACTTGTGTGATCTGAACGTGCGGTGAAAAATCTGTGACGTCCAGGGCCAATCAACATGGTTTAATCAGAAATGCAATAGTCCAGATACAGGTCAGCTGTGTAAAAATACTAGTCCAGCAACTGCAGTCAAATCCAGTCTTAAAAATGATATTCTAAAATAATTAAATACTTATTTTGATGCAAAAATTATCATTTTGACACCATTTGCTATCCCCCATGTTGTTGGGTTTTAACTTTTTTCTTTTGTGGAACACAAAAGGTGATTATTTTAACCTTCCAGCCAGCTTTTTGTAAAATATAATAAAAGTGAATGAAGACTAAACTTCAACTGTAAAGCTGCTTTGACACATCCTGCATTGTAAATAGCGCTATATAAATAATGGTGACTTGACTCGACTAAACTCAAATGACAAAAAAAAGCACCATAATTGTGTTAAAAATAAAAAGATAATCTTAAAAATTAATCTTTTGTGTTCCATGGAAAGAGGAAAGACATGTTGTTATTGTTAATAAAAACTATTACAAATCTTTTCGGTAATTGAATTAAACCTGAAATAAAATATAAATATTAAATGAAAAACCTGAACCTTAAAAGCTTACCTTGGCAAATAACGAAATAAAGTTCTAAAATTACTAATATTTAACTTCTATTAACTTAAATTAAACTGAAAATATAAAAATAAAATCAAATTTAATATCTTAATAAATATTATAATGGTATTCAAATAATACTAAAATAGCACATGAAGTAAGACATTCAGGTTTTGGAATGACATGAGGTTGAATAAATAATGACAGTATTTAGATTTTTATTTTTTTTTGTAAATAACTAAATTGATTAGATTTATATTTTCTGGATTATATTATCATGTATGAGATTAGATGCTGCCATAAAATTAAAGACCCAAATTCATTAGTATCTAGTAATGTTTCACTGTCTCAAATTTAAAAACCGTTTCATTGATTATTTGGGTTTTTAAATATCTGTTTGTAGTTGTCAAGTCAAGTACTGTAAGCTAATAAGTTATTTAGCACTTTATGCTAGTTAATCAGTGTTAAATTATTGTATTTATGTAGTGCCCTTGAAAGATCATAATGGTTATGGTAGAACATGGCACTAGAGGGCAGAAGAGTCACTTTAATGTTTTCCCACATGTAATCAGAATATATTACAGCAATATTTCAGTTTATTTTACAACTTCATGTCTGTAAACAGCATGCTATCTATTACCACAGAAAATTATGATTCGCAGCTCAGCTTGTAAAAACAAATAGTGTGATAATTTGCATATTTTAAACTTTGCCACCCACTCAATGACCCTGTTGGGTTTCCATTGAAATTACATACTAATTGCATTTTGCGTTCTTTTTTACAAACTGAAGTACAAGTTGAAGTTATTCTGTGGTAAACAGCAAAATTCAACAGATCAGAAACATTAAGAATAATGTTAATATATAATAACATAATAATCCAGAACGTCCATCTTTGTACTTTGCCACAGTAGATCTATTTGTAACACATGAGCTACTGATGCAGTCAAAGCCAGTATCATTTAAGCCAAGCTTACGTTGTGTTAAACTGTTGATAATTGTGCCTGTGTCTATGCCTGTGCTGAGCCATGTGTGTCAGTGTCTGTCCTGCCTAGACTAATTGGCTGATGGTGATCAGTGAAGGCGGAGCAGTTGATTTTTAAACCAATTATGCGGTGACCCAGACCCCACCCCCAATCCCGCCCATTACCCACCCACCCCTCTTTTCTCTGGCGGTCTCAGCCACTAACATTTACCTGCACGTGTAACTCTGCCTTACTGCCTGCTTATAACACCTCTAAACCCCTCTAGTATACTTTTGATTCCTCACTTTTGATTATGGAGATGGGCTGAAATATTCTCAATATGATTTCTGCTTTGACATTTCTAAAAATTATGATCAGCTAATCTAAAGACAGATGTGTTTAGACTTTGATTTTGTCATTTTTAATCATTGTTCCTGCCATAGTTGCAATTATAATGAATTTCTAGATGCTAAATTTGGATGTTGTTTGACAGCGTGAGAGTGAATATGATGTGAAAAGTGATATACAATAATGATTTCTTAATTTGTGTTAAATATTTCTTTGATGTATGCTTATTTCGAACCAGAATTTGTCGTCTCACGTGTCTGCATGTGTGTTAGGTATGAGTCAGCAGTCGGACAGCGGGTTCGGTGGTGCCGCCACCCCTCAGAGCCCCCTCATGTCTCCCAGGATGGGCCACGCCCAGAGTCCCATGATGCAACAGGCGCAGGGCAACACCTCTTTCCAGTCCTCCCCTGACATAAACGGCTGGACACAGGGCAACATGAATGCCAACAGGTGCAGTTTTACGTCTTGCAGTTTTGGTTTAAACTTTTTGATTGGTATGTTGACACATTTGCAGTTGTTTGAATACATATTTCTCCATTTTGTGTGTGTGTACAGTGTGTACAGTGGTGGCCAAAATGATTAGAACACTAGTATTTTCACCAGCTAAAAATGGTTTTAAGTCAGTTATTTCTATATTTTGCTGTAGTGTGTCAGTAGGAAATATCAGTTTACGTTCCCAAACATTCATTTTACCATTAATTGTAATAGTCCAGTGAGATTTTTGTTTGCACAAGCAGTCTGACAGCAGCCAGTGCTCCACACAGAGATCTGATCTCATCATCATCCAGTCTGTCTGAGATTACATGAAGAAACAGACTAAATCCAGAAGAACTGTGGCAACGTCTCCAAGATGCTTCAAGAGACCTACCTGCAAAGCTACCTGAAAAACTATGCACAAGTGCACCGAGGGCAAAAGCTGCTTTAAACAACGGATGGTAACACCAAATGTTGATTTCATTTAGTTAATAGAAGTTAATTGATAAAGAAAATCTCTTTGACATTATTTTTGGCAGCGTCCTCATTTTACAGCATTTTTACACAAGTGCCTAAAACTTTTAAGAGTACAGTAGCTTTACAGGTACGGCTCTTGAAGCATCTTGGAGACGTTGCCACAGTTCTTCTGGATTTAGTCTGTTTCTTCATGTAATCTCAGACAGACTGGATGATGATGAGATCAGATCTCTGTGTGGAGCACTGGCTGTTGTCAGACTGCTTGTGCAAACAAAACAAACTAATCTCACTGGACTATTACAGTTAATGGCAAAATGAATGTTTGGGAATGTAAACTGATATTTCCAACTGACACACTACAGCAAAAGATAGAAATAACTGACTTAAAACCATTATTACAAGTGCCTAAAACTTTTAAGAGTACAGTAGCTTTACAGGTAGGTCTCTTGAAGCATCTTGGAGACATTGCCACAGTTCTTCTGGATTTAGTCTGTTTCTTCATGTAATCTCAGACAGACTGGATGATGATGAGATCAGATCTCTGTGTGGAGCACTGGCTGTTGTCAGACTGCTTGTGCAAACAAAAACAAAAAATCTCACTGGACTATTACAGTTAATGGCAAAATGAATGTTTGGGAATGTAAACTGATATTTCCAACTGACACACTACAGCAAAAGATAGAAATAACTGACTTAAAACCATTATTATCTGGTGAAAATACTAGTGTTATAATAATTTTGACCACCACTGTATATATTATATTATATTGTATTATATACTACATAAATACTATATAACTAGTAAATACAATAATTTAACACTGCTTAAGCATAAAGTGCTAAATAACCCATTAGACATATTTGCAATCGTTTAAATACATATTTTTCCATTTTGTGTGTGTGTGTGTGTGTGTATATATATATATATAATATCATACACTATCATACACACAAACAAACAAACAGTTCTTTCTAGTCCTTGAATCTGATTGGCTGAGAGCCTTTTCTAGCGGTGCAATATTCTTGTGATAACAGCACTTGCAGTATTTCTCATAGCGAGTGTCATGGCGAACAGCCAAATCCACTATATTTTTTATAAATAATACTGTTTTTGTGTCACAAAAAAAAAACTTTTCTCAGGAAGCTAAACGAAATGTTTTTACCACCTGAAAGATCTTATACATTTATCTGCTTCCCTCCACAGTATGTTCACTCAGCAGTCGCCACCTCAGTTCGGCCAGCAGGCCAATAACAACATGTACAATGGTAACGGCATGAACCTCAACGTGTCCATGGCCACCAACTCAAGCAGCATGGGCCAAATGGGCAACCAGATGAGCATGAGCTCTATGAACTCTGGACCTGGGGGCGGCATGGCCAACATGGGCCCTGAACAGGTTAGACACACACACACACACACACACAAGTCAGTTTCTGAGTCATGTGACACCTTTGTCTATGAAAAGTGTGAATGTTTATTGCCTTTTGGGAACCCATTCGAGCTCTGCTGTTCCCAAAAGTCAACTAAACTAGATGGTTTAAAAGCTCAAGCTACTTTAAAAACACATCTTTAGAGTGAAACTGCTTTACAGCGCTTGTCAGACTCTCAAACTTTTGATTGCTAATGAAGCTCATTTAAACTCCCCAATGTTCCACCCAGGAGTTTAGTAAAAAGTGATGCGCCGTAGATTTATTGGATGCATTTATTTACTCAAACCATTAGATGTAGAATGACTAATGGTCAGACTTTAAGTGTCTGAGGTCACCAAATAGCGTAGTCGACTCTGCAACTAGCTCGTTAATAATTTACTCTAATTATCCTGGGTAATTTTGCAGATGAGAAGGATGATGCAGAACTAGATGTAATAGGAGAGTGATGTGATTAGTTGCTGGCAATTAGTGTCTGTTTGAGGTGGATAAAGAGATCATGTATGCAGACATGACAGACTTTGAGTGCTAAATATCAGACATGACGTCTATAAGTCAGCTAGGGTTTGACCAAACATACCAGCACACACCTTCCTGCACTCCCTGAACTTCATTTTAACTAAATATTAATATCCTATATTGTGGTTTCATCATATAAATAATAGTTTTAAGTGCATTTTTTTACTTTGTGTGTTATATAAGTTATAAAAACATTTGTATATTATTTATAAGTATGTTTATCATTCAAAGGTTTGGGCTCAAAATGTTCATTTTGAATTTTATTTTATTTTAAAAGAAATTGATACTTTTATTCAGCAAGTGCATTAAATTGATGAAAAGTGTCAGTAAAGAGATTTTAAAATATTTCTATTTCACTAAATGCTATTCTTTTGAACTTTCCATTTAGCAAATTCTGAAAGAAATATATCACATTTCCAAAAAATATTAATCGACTTATTTCAACACTGATGACAATCAAAAATGTTTCTTAAGCACCGAATCATCACATTAGAATGATTTCTAAAGGATCACGTGACACTGAAGACTGGAGTAATTTTTACTAATTTTTTTGATCAAATAAATGCAGGTTTGGTGAACATAAGAAACTTCTTTCTCAAACTTTATCTTTTTCTTTAAAAATAGTTCTTTAATATATTTTCTTAAGTGATGCACTCTCGCCAGTAACATAAAGATTTTTATGCTTTACACAGTCCGCTGCAGCTTTTAAGCTTCATTAAATAGTATGAATATTTAACCAAGTTGCATCAGTTTGATCATGTGCACTTCGTGTTTTTATAAGTCCATAGGCCGTTGAAATCTCAGTCTGCTGATTTATTCCCAAGATGTGTGTATATTCACTAGTCTTTTAATAATTTAGCATTTTGCCATTAGTGGAGGTTTAATGAATTATTACTCTCTGTTTCTTAGCTGTAATTATCTCTTCATGACAACACAAAGTTTGGCATTACAACACATTTCAGTGAGGGGTACATGAAACTGGGTCACAAGAGCTTTTAAAAAGTACTTTACCTGTCATGATTTATTACAGTATTTATTTTACTCATGGCCCACCCAGTCAAAGCTGCCAGAATAGACAAATAGTGTAAAAAATATGTATAATAAAATACTACGTGCTTCATGCAAAATAATATTCCACAATCATAGTCTCATAAATTTTTGTTGTTGGTGTATATATTTTAAAAATGAATGTGTAAAATACGAAAAACAGACAGACCTCTTTGACAGTGGCAACAACCACATATTTAGGAAACAGATATGCAGTGAACACCATGTCAAATAACTTATAGCAAACACAAAAACACCACTAAATAGCCCAGAAAATATTATAACAGTAGTATATTCATGCCATGATGCATGCTGGGAACTGTAGTCCTGCCTCAATCAGTGCAAGTATCACTATTACCTATTAAGTCAAAATTACAACTTAAAGGGATAATACACCTAAAAATGAAAATTATCATAATTTACTCACCCCCATGTCAATCTAAACCCATAATACTTTGGTTAGTTTTCAAAACACAACTAAAGATATTTTAATGAAACCTGAAAGGTTTCTGTCCCTCCACTGATAATCCAGGTTAGAAGATCCAAAAAGGTTATAAAAGCGAATCTATATGAATCGAGAAGTTCAAATCCAAGTCTTATGATGATCATTTTATATGAACTTTAATTTAATTTAGGCGTTTAGTTACATGTAAATAATGATCGACACATACACAGAGCACTTCACATTTAGTAAACATGGTTAAGCTCAAATATGTGAGCGAGATTTTTGGGTGAACTATACCTTAGTTATTTACAACTTAATTATTGTTAATTAATAATATACATTACCACAATGTGAACGGCCTCATACATGATTTCTGTGAAAAATATGCTTCTATGGTTTTGAGTCTAAGACCCGATTTCTTTTTCTCTTTCCCACAGCAGAAGTATTGTTGACCCGGGGCAGAGACATCCCAATGCAGTAAAGCGAGTTTAATGAAGATGTTTCATCAGTGATTTTCAGCCGCATCGTGATCACGGAGAGTTTGGAGTGATGCTGTGCTATTTAAGCTGCTATCGGGGCTGTACGGGTCTTTAGAGAGCCTGTCGGCTGCCCCCTTCTGGACATCTCTAGAGGATGCATCAGGGGTACTGGAGCTCAGAGGAGATGGACACTCTCCCTCACTCTCTCTCTCTCTCTCACACACACACACACACACACACTAACACTTTGATCTTCTGGACCTAGAAACCCCCCCGC